GCGTCGTGAGTATACGCCCCACAAACGCCACCTTAAGAAACCGACAGTCCGTCGAGATCGGGTTCAGTGACGAAGTGGGGATTGACAATAAAAGGTTCCCCTCGCTCTCGACGTCGGGTACTGCAGTTCTACGGGTGCAAGAGTATGCCTCCTCAAGCACCCGGGCGTCAAAATAGAAGAAGTCCAAGGGAAGAACCAGAACGAGCAAAAGGTCGGCAGGAAACGGCAAGCAGATAGGAGAAGAGGGGGGAGAAAAACGAAACAGAAGGAAAAGGAAAAGGAAAAGATGCCCAGCAGAATTGGAGAGGACGGCAGCAGGAGCACAAGGCTAGAAAAGGACAGGACTGTCCCAAGGAGCATCACACTCCGGCAGCCGCCCACCAAGCCCCCACACGGCGACAACGAGCTGAGCGGGGAGGGGGGGCGGAGCTACAAGCTTTCGCCTCCAAATGATTGGCTGTTGAGGTGAATGTCAACAAAGTTTCTACCAATGAAATGCGAGCGTGGGAAAGCGATCTAAAGGACAACAACCTACCTTATGGGCTGCTGTAAGCCTGCTGATAGTGTTATTTTCTGCCCCTAGATGGCATCAGCTGTACTCGGCTCAGACTTCTTTCCTTAACTTCGGGTGTCACAATAACCATCATGAATGCTACGATGTCCCACCCTCTACTATCGTTTCATGTTAAATTTTGCCACTAGATGGAACCTCATACCAGGAAAAAGAACCTGGATAAAATGTATTTTGATGATTTCCATAATAAGTAATCATATCTAACACAGTCAGGATTTTTTGTTTTGTTTTTTACCTTCAATAACGAAAAGCTTGCATATTTTCTTTCAAGATTTATCTGTTAATAACAATTTTTCTCTATTTAGCAGATATTTTCAACACCTAACTTTATTAAAGCTATGTTGTCGGCTGGAAAGGAAGTATAGCGTCATCTTTGGCGACAAATAGTATGGTAATTAGAGACGATAGAGAATAATAAAGTATTTTGTAACTACAGTACTAACAATAGTACGACGTCTACAGTCGCTGCTGTTACTAAGACCAAGGATACTTAACATTTCTGACACCACAACAACAACATGGACCCCCCCCCCCCCCCTTTATTATCGACCCCCCTTAACTCGCGTGCTAACAGGTCCCCCCCCCTCTTAAGAGGGGGGGGGACCTGTTAGCTCCCGTTTACTAGTGACTCTGGGCGGGGCACGATGCTGATTAGCAAAATCCCAGACCACAACAGGTGTGATCCCCAGGACACACCCAGCTGAGGGCGGCTATCTCCATGAGTGCGCTGAAAGACGAAATGTTGTCACCAATCCAGTTCCTTGCCTCCATCGCTTATGTAGTGACTGGTCATAACGTTTTTAATGCCATACAGCCCTGCCACGTTGCAGCCCTGTCTAACCCTGGCACTTTATCTCATCCTTAAAACCCTTCCTTTCACCCCCACTAATTCTTCCCCGCTCACCCTACAGGGTATCTTGACCTATATTTAATTGATTGATTGGAGGTCAGACACCACCCTAATCCGGTGCATTATACCGGTAAGAGACGAGAGGCCTCTTAAGGAAAGTGCAACCCTCTAGACAAGGCTCTCTTGCACCCAGCACTGCCCGGTGGGTAAACATTAGGCAGTAACGACGAGAGCTCCATTCTAGATCGGTAGAGTGGTGATAGATAAACAACACCATGCTATACCGGGTTAAGGTTCGGTTCCGAGGACCCGACACCAACTACACCAAGGCTGAGATCATGGCCATCCTAACGGCGAACTCCGAGATAGCACCCATCGGCGTCACTATGGAGGAAACAGGACCCCAGATTATGTTCAGCAGTGTAGTGGCGCTAGAAAGTTTGTTTAACACGGCAACACTCACGACTCTAGAGGCAGAAAACCTGATCCTCATATCTCCCCACCAATTCCAGGCAGTAAGATCGATTTTTGTCCATCGAGTAAGTGCTCTCCTAGCAGAACATCCAACTGCTGAAATCGTCAAGAGTATCAACGGTCATAATCGGTCTCTCACCGCCATCTCTGCTCATCTCATCCAGCAAGATGTAAACGAAAAACCCACCCTGAAGGTCACCCTCAAGTCTCCAGCAGAGGCTACTCTCGCGGCAGACAACAGCCTCAGGTGTTTTGGTGTGGCCTGCACGCTCCACCAGATTGCCAGACAAAGATAGTTCCGCCTTCTACAGTACTTCAGGTGTTATCAATACAACCACTACCCTCAGAAGTGCTCCAACCCTTCGCAGAAATGCAGCATTTGTGTAGGTAACCACCAGTACAGGACCTGCAAGGCCGCCACCCAGTGTTGTTTACTATGCAACGGTGAACACACAGCCGTTTCTCACGACTGATTAACCATGAAGGCTGAAATTAAGAAAATGATTGACGCCAGACAAGCAATTGAAACTCCAAGACAGAAAGCTTTTAATATTAAAAAAATGTCTTTCCCAGCAACTCCGACAAGTGGCGCCGCGAGCGGCGTGCAACCCAACTATTGGACCAGCAACTTCCGCGGCGGCAGCCAATCACAGACTAGACGACACCATTCAACCAGACCAGCCAATCACCGACCCAGCTGCCGCCACTCACGCCGCCACCATCCACCCCTGACAGCACTCTAGCAGCTCTGATCCACTTTGGAACGATACTCTCAGGAGGAGATATCAAACGTCAGTACAAAATACTGAACGAACTCTATAAAATGAACAAGCTACCGACCTTTGATATACCAGAGGCCATGTTTACCAACTGCTCTACTCAACCAGAAGCCAACTCTTCACCAGTACTCCCTGTCATCCCAGAACCGACAAGAGCCCACACATCGACAGCTCCTCCTCCTACCACCGACACATCGACAGCTCCTCCTCCTACCACCAACACATCAACAGCTCCTCCTCCTGCCACCGACACATCAACAGCTCCTCCTCCTGCCACCGACACATAGACAGCTCCTCCTCCTGCCACCGACACATCGACAACTCCTCCTCCTGCCACCGACACATCGACAGCTCCTCCTCCTGCCACCGAACCTGCAGGAGCAATGGAAACTGAGAGAACTGAAGAAACAGCAACCCCGGAATTATTCAACCCCTACAAGACCTGCGAGATCAAAATAGCCAACAACGATCCCAGAATAACAACTTTTCAAGTACCAGTTCGGTATCCTGTCTATGAAGAACCAGATGGTTATATCTGGTCAGTATACGACGAAGAGTCACTTCAACAATATTACACAGAGGAACTGACTACCCCCTCGCATATTCTTAAACTACAACCCAAAGAACCCAGATACACCATTGGGCCTATTAGATGTGGTAGAAAAGACGATAATTCAAAAACACATGACCGGCGACGACACTGTCGCCCACGTTGACGAAGCTGCTATGAAATCAACAATGTGCAACCTCTTACGGTGCCCTAGATCAGGCATAAACAAATAACAGTTAAATCAGCACCACCGTTACAAGCAGTACTAGAACGAAAAGAACGAGAAGAACGAAAAAGAACCAAAAAAATCATTCACAAGTAAAAAGCTCAAGGGGAAATAACACACACACTCCAGTTGAACCAGTACCACATGAAGGCAGCTGCCTTCTTCCCCCTCTTTAGGGGGATGGGGACCTAATTTTGCTCGTTTAGAAGTGGTGGACTCCCTGTCCGCTTCCGTGCAGACCGACGCAGAAGGCAGAAGACTCCAGCATCACAGAAGAAAGAAGACTTCAGCATCACAAGAAGAAAGAAGACTTCAGCTTCATATAAGACCCCACATTCCAGAAAAGTTGTCCTCGGAAAGCAGTCCTCGCTTTGTCGCCCCCGACTCAAGACCCTGCCTCCCCGCCTAGCCAGCCTGGTGTTGGAAACCCTCAAATACACCGTGCAGCTGGGTTTAGCCCTGGCTCTGTCTCTCCGTTTCCTCTCACAAGCTATTCTTCAGCTATACCCACTTCAAGGCTCACCCGAAGGGTATCTTGTCCTATATTTATTTCGTTTCGTTTCGTTCTGGGGACCCAGCACACAGGTGACCACGGCTCCACCCACCCTCTCATCGCCCAATCAATCAGCCGCCTCTGACACCAGCAATCTGGTTCTCGTCGTCATTCGCCGAGAGAAAACAACACGATTGGATTGATTATTGATCATCATTGCGATTCTGCAACCAGTAGCCGTCACGGCCGGACGTGTCTCTGGTTGTTTCAGCTTTCTCTCTCTCCCACCCCTTCACTCTAGATGGTTGGACCCCACTCCCAGCCTGCTGTTTTATACCGGGAAGAGTCGGTGGTCCTTTTCCAGTGATGTGATCTGGCGAACAGAGCACTACTAAGACTAACAGCGTTCTTCCATCAGCACTGCGCCCCATTGAGGGGGTGTCAGCTGAACGCAGGGCCCTCACTACCATGTGTCACAAACGCTACAAGGTCCGAGGTACGACCCTTGAAGAGCATGCGTTCTCCTAGAATGACCTCCTGAAGCTCCTTAAAGAAGAAGCTAGCATAGCACCGATCGACATCAGCCAGGAAGGCACTGACTTTGCATTTTTCTTCTAATCAGAAGAGGACCTCGACAAGCTGCTGCAGCGAGATATCGAGTTTCGCGGCTCGCACCACCTCAACCTCTACTTTCCACGTCTGTACCTGGTGTTGGAAAATATCCAACATTTATTTTCATTTTAATCTTCTGATAAATGATTCTTGTATTAACCATAGTAATTTACTAATATTACTAACTAGTAGATTAATCAGATTAATGCCTTTCCTACTGCGCAAATTATTTACCGAATATTTGTACACCACGGCGTGGGTACGTCCAATCACTTAGCATAGGGAAAGATAATATCTACATACCAGAGAATTAAATTCTATTCTCACTACGCATCAGTATTCTTTGCTAAGAATTATTGACTTATAATACATAAACCAGTGATCACGTCAATACGCGTTATTAGCTGAAGTTCACAAGATAACAGTAATCTGTTGTCCCAGACAGTATAACAGGCAAGATAACAGTAATCTGTTGTCCCATGTTGTTGTACATGGAGGAACGAAATTCTCCATCCATGTTGTTGTACATGGAGGAACGAAATTCTCCATCCATGTTGTTGTACATGGAGGAACGAAATTCTCCATCCATTTTCATCCATTTTTTGTTCATATGAAAACAGTTTCACGTTAATAATTATACGACGAGAACACCATCAATATTACCTTCCTTGTAATAAACCCTAGTCTTAATATCTCACAGTTGAGAAAATATTAGGAGAATAACTCTCCATAACAACGCAACATATTTTGCGCATGCGCGGACGAGACTGGGAGGAAGGAGAGAGCGACAGCAGCCATATTGCTGATAAGAAGCAGTGTCCAGGAGTTCACGTTAACATCGGCCCATAATTGCGTCATCCTTGCTGGAGCAGGTGCCAGGAATCGAGAGTGACTCCGCCCACATCAGACACTCATCCCGGCGAGCGTAATGTAGATAATTTCCTACTGATGTTTGTTTATTTGTGCATTTGTAACAAATGTGTAGGTAGCTCGTCGTCAGGATGTGAGACTACAAAATAACCAAAGTTAGTCTTATTCTTGCTCATGTCCCCACTTTTCATTCAGAAATAGTGGTATATTCACATTGGCATAGTCATTCTTTAGATATTAATTGTGATTTCAGCTGGAGTCATAGTGACAAGAGGAGAGATAACCTTCATCTCCATGCTTGTGGCCGGATAGCGAGTAACAACAAGCATGAGGACGTGACTGCCCTATACGTGTACACCTATTTCAGCCAAACAGCTAAGCTGTCATAGTACGTCAGTAGTCATTAATAACCATTAGTTGATTATTGATCTTCAACAAAGGATCATAATTATTTACTAACAATTCATAATTATGCCATATAATTATTACATATATTTTTATATATCCATGATTTATATATCTCAGTCGGATATATACTGCCACGGAGGGTAGTCTCTGTGGTGTAGTGGCGCTTTGTCATGGGTTCGTATCCTGGCCGGGGAGGATTTACTGGGTGCAAATCCTTAACTGTAGCCTCTGTTTAACTCAACAGTAAAATGGGTACTTGGTTGTAACAACGATTCTTCGCGGCGGGGATCGTATTCCAGGGACCTGCCCGAAACGCTACGGGTACTAGTGGCTGTACAAGAATGTAGCAACTCTTGTATATATCTCAAAAAAAAAATACTCTGATGAAGAACCAGCATCGGACGATTGCACTAGTTACGTAGTATTAGCACCTACACCCCCAATTTATGAGAGTGAGTTTGACTCAATTTAATTACAATATACTGTCTTATTGATATTTTCATATTGCATTATCAATTCCTTAAAATACATTGGCACTAGTTCGTGGATTTAATTTAAATACATTTGCTCATTTTAGTTTTCCACTTTTTTACAACAAGTGGTGGTCCTTCACAGCTATCGAATATATGATTATTTTGATTAATATATTGGAGTCAAATTTTCCCGCACCTTGCTGCATGAAACTGTCTTTGTCAATAAGTTAAGCTGTTCGGTCCAGGAACAGGATCGAGTGGTTAGAGATTTGGTGAACGACATCAGGTGCATAAACCCGGGCATGGAAGTGTATGAAACACACTACATCAACGACTGCACCATGAAGGTCACATTTACAACCGAGCTGTGGCTTCCCTAGCTACCACAAATGGTATCTATTGCTTCGGCATCCACGTTCCATCTTACCAAGTAAAGATGGAAAAATTCTACAACGTCAACCAATGACTTTGGTTGAGGTGAGCAACGACGAGCGCTACGAATACTTCCACCCCACCAACAAGTACCAGCAGTTCATCCAGAAATGCAGCATTTGCACCAAGGATCACCACTATACCATCTGCACATCGACAACACCACGTTGCTTGCTCTGCGACGGCAATCACCCGGCAATTTCCCATCGATGCCCACGCAGACAAGAAGTTATCAATAATTTGGAGAAAACCAAATCCTCCTCTGCAGCTAGCACCAACTCAAGCACTTCAGCTCCACCCAACCAACCACAAGCCGAACCACCCTTCAACGTTCAAGCCGCCATTTCCCGCTTCCAAGTGGAGAAGCCACTGGCAACTAGCCTAGAGCCGCTGCACACCAGTCCGGCCAATGGGGGCCCAGCTCCCGGACCGCCAGCCACTCTCTGAACCAGCAGTCACCACCAATATCTTACCCAGACCAATCACTGTATAGCACGGTACATGCATTAACAACGACGGCAAGGATGATTGCCGGCTCTAACCCACAGGCATTTGCGAAGATTTTGAATATTCTCTACTCTGCAAATGGTCTCCCAACCTTCACCATACCCGACGCCGTCAACACCACCTCAACGCCAGCCACAAGTTCTCATCAAGCTCCTGACTCAGTCATCGAGGTGAACACGGCCGCCCTTACTGACCTGCTGTCTGCAGTTGCAACGCCCACTTTGACAGCTACTACAACGGAAGCCGCCTCGGACCCGCCGCTTTCTCATCCATCGACATCTGTTTCAGTTCCACCCATCATCTGCGAGCTCACAGAACCTTCTACTTTAGCGACAGAACTCCCTGCTGCTACTCAACCTACAATTGTCTATAGCAGCTTGAATTCAGCTGACTCATCAGACGATGATATCTCGGTTGGGACTTCATACTCTTCTCAACGAAACAACCCAAAAGACTACCAAACCGACGAAAACTCGAATGCCAGTATTACCTTTTCAACACGAAGCAAGACTGCTTCCAAGCCTGAAAAGACCGAAGACCCTAACAAGAAGAAGTCAAAACATCGGTAAGAAGAACGAAAAAAGAAGATAGCATCTACCAACACATACCCTTTGAGACAGCACAACATCAAGCCTTCCAAGCCGCCAAGCAGCCTGATGAATAAAGAAGAAAACTGGATAAAATACTAGAAGATAAACAACTACTCCAATCCACAGTGGATAAGCCACTAATATTTCAGCCCGTCTCATCGCCGCTCTCTTCCTGTTTCCTGAGATTTTATCATTATCCTCAAGTTCTTCGTTCCCCAGCTCGCCAAACTCTTTGGACCTGAAAGCTAAGCTTGCCGAGAAACTGCTGGCTCCGACATCACCAGATGTCGGAGCCCTCAACAGACTGCTGGCAGTGAACAGACTACGCAAGAATGTGGTACCAGCTGACCTACTTCAGGCTCCTAGACACCAGCAGTTCTAGCCGACCCGCTCCCACCAACAGGCAACGACCTAGCAACAGCGCAAGCAGCACCACCAGCTCCTGCACCTGCTACCTCTCCTAATCTTGCCTCGACACAATCGTCCCAACGATTGGGACCCAACAACAACCTAACTACAGCCCCAACGACCTCTACCAGAGTGCAGCCCAAAGTTTCACAGACTAACCAGGAATCCCAACCACAGGTCCCACCTACCACACGAATGACGGGAAGGACAACTCGAGGCTCCATCAGAGTGGACCAAGCATTCATCAAGGCATACCAGACGACTCTGGACCTGGCAGCCCAACTACAAGTCCCCGGACCCCCAATCGAAGCCAGGAATCCTCCTATGGATCAAAGGGTCCACAACTCTGTGTTCTTCAATGAGCTAGGTCAATGCTACCGCAAGAAAATCGGCTCCCCGGAGCTAGCCATCATTGCGACGGCCACCGACCTCTACTGCGATCACAAAACACTCTATGGATACCTCCTGAGTTTCAACGTCCACGACCCGAACAACCCCACCCTCGAGGAGAAAATGTTTGAAGAAAAACCTCGACACAATCTGGACACCAAAGAAAAACCTGGACAGCAAAGAAGAAACTGGCCCCTTCTCGACGACCCAACAAGACCGCTTTACTGAGCCACTCTCCACCAGCAACGAGAAGGCGCGCTTCTCTAAGACAGACACAGTGCTACACCTACACCAACATGACCGTCAACCGCCCTTCCACTAGCCTCCTGCCGATCAATTAAACTCAAGATCAACACGTAATGCCAACCTATGGTGGACGGGCTAACGAACTTTCAAGTTCGTTGGTCCGAACTTGAAATCCGAAAAGAATGTAGTGACCATTCTCACTCTTATTATACAACATATGGTGTATAATAAGAGGGAGAAAGGTCTCTTCATGCATGTCGGCGTTCAATCCCCGACCGTTCAAGTGGGTGGGGCATCATTCCTTTACCCCGTTCCATCCCTGATCCTTATCCTGATGTTGTTGTTGTTATAGATTCAGCTACTCGGAACAAGTTCCAAGTAGCACGGGCTATGATGAGCCCGTAGTGGACTTACCTGGCACAGGAGCGGGGCTCCGGCCTTATCTTGATGATTGATTGATTGATGATGATTAAGCCACCCAAAAGGTGGCACGGGCATGAATAGCCCGTAAGTGGTGGCCCTTTTGAGCCATTACCAGTATCAATAGGTGATACTGGAGATCTGTGGAGGTGCGACTGCATCCTGCGTGACGGGAGATGTCTCCCGTGCTTATCTTGACCCCCTTCCTAGTGCTATATAGTCGTAATGACTTGATGCTTTCCCCTGATTGTTCCATTCCATTCTCCCAGAATTTAAATTCCTCACCTCTCTCTCTCTCTCACTCTTCCCCAACATCCTTTTCCAAGCACTCTGAACACTAAATCGAACTCGAAACTGATGCAGGGCGTGAGCCGGTGGTGGCGGAGGTGGAGTTGGCGGCTTGTCTAGCCTCAGTCATTTTCTTGATTTCGTCTGGTCTGACTGGGCAGTCATGGGAGGTAACAGTATATGAGCACCTCCACAGATGATGCATTGTTGGGTGGCTGTAAGTCTTGTAGTTGTGCACCAAGGAGCAGGTGTTGCATTTCCCAAGTTAAGTTTGCATTTCTTGGTGAAGTGATCGTACTTGTAGCCCATAAAAAAGCTCCATAACAAAATTCTAGCTCTCAACACATATTGGAAAATACTCATTGACAAATTGACAGACACTTCACATATCACGAACATCGCATTGATTTCCTTAACAATACACTTAGAAACACATGAATCACACATGATCTCTTCAACATTCTACACGACTCACTACCCAAATCTATTTAGGTGGTTTATCCACCCTCACAACCCGTCCTCGACTCCAGTCCATTACATCCAGCGGTCGACCCCACAGACACATTCATAAATTTTTACATGCTGTTCATTCAAAACTGGAATTTTCTCAAATATAAATTAATATTATAATATATTAGCATATAGTGCATATATAGGCATAGGTTAGGTTAGGTATTTAGGTTCTGTTGGCGATTATTTGTATTTGTAGTACGTGGGTGAAGAATTTACAGCGTTGTGGTTCGAACAAAATTCGTCAGTGAAGCACTTGTTCCGGAAGTGTTCGAAAGAAATCAGTTGTGAGTCGTGTGTAAACCGTTTTTCATTCATAAACATGAATGAAAAGCCTGGATGCATGGAATGCATCCATGGAATCACTCTTAAGTCTTTGTTTGGAGGAAGGGCTGCTGGATGTAATGGACTTAGAGTCGAAGACGGGTTGAATCCTAAAATTCAAGTTCAAGTACGTTTATTGAGACCATAAAATACATCTCAAAAGGATAGAGTAGCTTTGGCTATTTCTACCCTCCTGCTAGCCACTGTTCACCCAGCAGTAATTGGGGACCTAGTAGTTAACCGATTCCTGGTCGTGTTCCAGGTGAAACTACATGTAGTGGCAAAGACTTACCACGAAATATGGAAAGGGAAAGTTCTAAGCCTGCTAACAGGAGACAGAAGCTGCCTGTTCATGTGCCCACCTGCGTTAATAATTAAAAAATCTACAACCCTATTTTCCCCATAATCAGAACGGGTACAAGCTTCATAATAAACTAATCAAACTTCCCTTAAAGAAGCTTGTAATAAAAATATGTCGCTGGCACTATCATAGAGCACGTATGATGCCGTCTCATGGGATACTGCGTCTTTTTGAAATATTAGTTCTAGGGATAACTGTGCTACTTGGATGCGGGATATAACGTTATATGTGTATACGGCCGAAAATACCGCAAAATTACTTTCACACATACCTGAAAAAAACTTGAAATTTAATATTTTAGAACAATTTTTTAACGACACTAAAAGAATGTCCAAGCTGAGGAAAAAAATTATTTGGTAATGAACTTTACTTTAAGAATATGGAATTTAATTTTATCAGTATCACCTCTACTTATTTTTGTCCAAATATGTGTTTTAATATTATATAATGTGTTTATTTGTATTTATTTAATATTGTATGTTCAGCGCCTATGTCCTCACACTTACAGTTACCAGATGCACTCGCCCGGCGCTTCTCGAGCGCCTTGGCCTGGATTCATATCCTGGCCGGGGAGGATTGACTGGGCGCGAATCCATAACTACAGCCTCTGTTCATCGAGTAGTGAATGGGTACCTGCTTGTTAAACATTAGCGGGTCTTATTCCAGGGAAAATTAGGATTAAGGACCTGCCTGAAACGCTATGCGGGCTAATGGCTTTACAAGAATGTAAGAACTCTTGTAAATATATTTATAAAATATAAAAAATAAATAAAACCAATTTTTTTTTAAATCATAAAATGCACATTTTGTAATCAGACGCAACTTCAGACAAAACTTCAGTGTCTACCCACGAGAAAATTTCAAAACAAGGTTTAAGTAAACCAGATATAAGTGAAGTGAAAATGTAGTATGTGATAGAGTCCCAGTAGTGCAGTTGGATTCGTTCTCGTCTCACAATCAGGAATTACAGAATTACGAGTTTGAATCCCAGGCGGTACAGAAATGATTGGGCACGTTTCTGATCACTTAATGCCCCGGTTCATGTAGCAGTAAATAGGTACCCAGAAGTTAGCCAGCTTGTTGTGGGGGTTACATCCTGGGGAGGGTCAGTAGTTCTATCGTTAGGGAGACCTCGACATAAGTCTAACTGGTATATACTGGTTTCCCGTTCCCCAACAGAATGAATTATTATTATTATTATTATTATTATTATTATTATTATTATTATGTGAAGAGAACAGAAGCAAGAGAGCGTTAGAATAGAGTAGAATAAAGCCAATAGTGTACACAAACGTCCCGCAAAACTGTGTAAGTTACTGCCACAAAATATGCACCAGGAGGTGTATACCCTGCTTCTTGGTGTATATACATTGAGAGGTGTATACCTTGCTTCTTGGTGTATATACATTGAGAGGTGTATACCCTGCTTCTTGGTGTATATACATTGAGAGGTGTATACCCTGCTTCTTGGTGTATATACATTGAGAGGTGTATACCCTGCTTCTTGGTGTATATACATTGAGAGGTGTATACCCTGCTTCTTGGTGTATATACATTGAGAGGTGTATACCCTGCTTCTTGGTGTATATACACTGATAATTTACCTTAGTTCTGGAGAACGTTCAGGATTAAAGTATACTTGCTGGATTGTACGTAAGCTATTGAGGTCACCTTCATACCCCTCCAGAATCTGCCTATAATAACAAAAAATTATTAATGGATATTACTTTCGTAATCCTAATTGAAGGAAATATTTTACCAATAAGCAAATGTATTAAGTGATTGAATCACGAATCTCTATATATAAGGAAATGTTTTCTCTCTGATATAGCTATATTAAAAATATTCTAAGTGCATAAAAATAAAACTTTGCAAATATGACAGTGTTAAAATTTTATTTGTATTTTAACACTAGTAATCTCTGTGGTCTTTCGGGAATTTTCCTACAGTGCTGACATTTCCTCTCAACTTCTGGAAGGGAAGGGAATTATCACGGGTAAGCGCCAAGCCATTACGGCTATATAGCACTGGGAAGGGGTCAGAGGGGACAGATCTCCAGTATCAGCTCTTGATACTGGTAATGGCTTAAAATGGCCACCACTTACGGGCTATTTATGCCCGTGCCACCTTTTGGGTTGCTTCATCATAACACATTCATAAGGGAGACACCTCCCGTCATGCAGGGTGCATTCGCACCTCCACAGATCTTCAGTACCAGCTTTTGATACTGGTAATGGCTTAAAAGGGCCACCACTTACGGGCTATTCATGCCCATGCCACCTTTTGGGTGGCTTAATCTTCATCAATCAATCAGGATTAGGATTTGGGGTGGGACGGTGGGGGGGAAGGGGAAGGAATGGTGTCTCAACTTCTGGAACCTGTAAGCCTATTTATTGCCCATGCACATGGCTATCCAAGTCTGATGCATTGTAAGTGTACTTCTGTTTTTTTCCGGTTAATTCCTTTCATTAAAATAAGTTCCTTAAGCTTCTTCCTGATGGTAGGTGCAGTTTGGTTCCTTAAGCTAAGTTAGACATAAAGCTATAAAGAATAATAGCTATTTTCTATACTCTGAGACATAAGCCATCAGAAAATAACACTTATACGGTATTATCCAGCAAAAAAAATTATTACATTGTGAATTTTCAATCCTTAGAATTGGTCGAAGTAACATATTGATCGATCAAGCCACTCTGTGCTATTCCTGTTTCCTCCTATATTTAGTAAATAACTAAGATTTTGACTGGGAATGTTCTTATAATGAGGTCTTTGACAATCCTAATAGTAAATTTAATACTATGTTCCTTAATCATGTTTTTGTAACTCGGAAGATTTTGTTATTCTCGCATAAATCAATGTTTTACCTTCATTTTGTATGGGTTGAGGTTTTTAATGTCGATAGAATTAAATATGAATATAACTGCATCAACTTAGTTTATGACAGACCGTACTTATGCCGTGTGCATAATTTGAAGTATGACACAGGAAGCCCAATGACCAAAGGACGAGGCTCTCAGGGCTCTTGGGCGAGTACTGCGAGTCCCTGAGATGATGAAGCCTCGTCTACACTTACCTTACTACACCCAACAATAACACGCAGGTCAACCCTACCGTAGTCAACCCCCTTCACGGGCTTTCACCATTATTTGACAGATTTTTATTTTCCCCCGTGAAGGGTAAGTAAATCATGAGGGTAAATCACGAGGAGAAAAGCGCCAATCCAGTATGGCAAGTTCAAGTATGTTTATTGAGACAAGAAAGAAATACATCTCAAAGGGATAGAGTAGCTTAGGCTATTTCTACCCACCTGGACAGTATAACGTTGTAGCACTTGGAATGAGGACGGGGTCAGGGGACTGGGTCTAGGGACGGGGTCTGGAGACGGGGTCTGAGGATGGAGTAAGGGACAGGCGCCCAACCACTTGGATCATCAGGGATCTTCGCTTGTGAGCGGAGAATGTGGAAAGAATAGCAATGCTCAACATTTCCTTCCAAGAGGGTAATGGTCCCTTTTTTTGCCAAAGGTGGGGTTAGAATCAGGATATAATTTCTATATCTGACTTGATGTACTCCTTCCGGAATTTCGATAACAACCAAGGACAATGGAGATGATGATAACTGCAAAATGCAACCCATCCTCCTGTTTATATATTAGTTTTTGTAATCATGTGCACCATAGTACAAACATTGACGTACTAAGCAATTAGTTAGCAGAACTTTGTACTATTCACTTTATAGCGTCTGAAAAAAATGAAGCTGAAAAAACAAACTTAAATATTCTTACGCCTAGTATAGCACACATATGTACTATATTAGGCTTCAGATAGCGTGTATTAGGCTTAGGAAGGTTAAGTTAGGTAAGTTTAGTTTGTCTTTGCAACATTAGTAGACAATTGTGTTCCAATTTGTCCAAATTCAATAGTACCGATTTCTACTTTCTAATTGCGTTGTACGTCGGTATATGTACTATGGTCCACCTCCTCCTTCCTTTAAGTACTACCAAAACAGGAGGATAGGCTGAATATTTAGTTTTATTTAAAACTTGACTTTTTTAATTAGTTAAGTCTCTAATTAGTTATTATAAAACATATAATTTTATATTCGGTTTTTGGCTGATGGTACTCTAGCTGGCTCCCCAGACTCCCTCCTGGATGACATAAGAATAATTCAGGAGCAAGGAGCAAGTCTAGGTCTCACCCTGAATTCTTGCAAGTGCGAAATAACCTCCACCAACCAGCACATATAAAGGGTTGTTTTACCCGAATAAAGGTTGTTTTGCCCGATATCCATATATCCTGAGGACAGCACACTCCTAGGAGCTCCTCTTGGAGGGAACGCCATCGACGAGGTCCTTGGTAAGAAGATCACTGACCTAAAGAGGATGGATGAGAGGATTGAAGACATTGACACTCATGATGCTCTTTACCTCATCACCAGATGCTTGTCCCTCCCCAGGCTGACCTACTTTCTTAGATGTTCGCCATCTTTCAGTAATATTACATTAGAAGAGTACGACATCTTGCTGAAATCAATGTTGCAAAAAGTACACAAGCAATCCAGCTGGGATCACCCCATTGTAGACCAAGCAGCTTTAACATGCCTAGAAGCTGCAACAACACCACATGACACTGCCCGACTTAGAGCTGTAGCAGCTCCCCATGTAGGTGACTTTCTATTAGCAACCCCAATGTCAGCAACTGGCACCCGTCTCACACCGCAGGCCCTCCGAAATGCTGTGGCTCTCCGCCTCGCTGCCCCAATCCACACCGAATACAGGTGTCTTTGCGGTCAGGCAGTGACCAACAGATACGGACGGCATGGCCTTCTCTACCAAAGAACAGGAGGATGGCATGCAAGACACAACGAGGTTAATGACATTATTAAGAGAAGCCTTACCACAGCTGGTTGTCAAGCAGAGAGAGAACCCCGTTATCTATTGCCCCACAACTCTGATGAGCCTGTCGGTCGCCCAGACGGGATCACAGTGAACCCATAGAAGAATGGTAAGCAGTTGATGTGGGACTACACTTGCGTTTCAACTTTGGCCAACGTTGACTTCAGTGCTGCACAAGTAGGCGGTGCTGCCAATTACCGGGAAGCAGCAAAGTCGTGTAAATACAGGAATCTTGATCACCACTACAATTTTGTCCCCGTTGCCTCAGAGACACTTGGTGCCTGGGGTAAAAGTGCTGCTAGTTTTTTGAAGGAGCTGGGGTCCAAGCTAACCAGATACCCTAGAGCCGCCAGTTTCCTCTTTCAGTGCCTTTGTGTGGCGATCCAGAGAGGAAATACTGCATCCATGGTTCCTGCCCGCCATCTGAGGAGCTGGAGAAACTCTACAACCTGTGACAAGTAGCCTTGTACCCTGCATGTAACCAATGTTTTAACCCTTTCTGTAATGGATTATTAAATAAAATAAAGTGATATATATATATATATATATATATATATATATATATATATATATATAATGCACAACTTGCCTAAACACGCAAGAGAGATTATACAACCTTAGAACACTTTCCCACCAGGAGATTCGAACCCTAGCCAGCACAGAAGCCTTATAGCAACTGGCATAACTGGTACGCCTTTAACCCACTGCATCCCAGCTCAGACCTTTAAAGGAGATGGTAATTTCGGAGTATTTCACCTCCAAAGATCACCACCTCCCAAGGGCAATCTTTGATCACCTCCCAAGGGTGATCTTTGGAGGTGAAATACTCCGAAATTACTCCTAGTTGTAAGTCCATATATATATATATATATATATATATATATATATATATATATATATATATATATATATATATATATATATATATATATATATATATATATATATATATGTCGTACCTAGTAGCCAGAACGCACTTCTCAGCCTACTATGCAAGGCCCGATTTGCCTAATAAGCCAAGTTTTCATGAATTAATTGTTTTTTGACTACCTAACCTACCTAACCTAACCTAACCTATCTTTTTCGGCTACCTAACCTAACCTAACCTATAAAGATAGGTTAGGTTAGGTTAGGTAGGGTTGGTTAGGTTCGGTCATATATCTACGTTAATTTTAACTCCAATAAAAAAAAATTGACCTCATACATAATGAAATGGGTAGCTTTATCATTTCATAAGAAAATAATTAGAGAAAATATATTAATTCATGAAAACTTGGCTTATTAGGCAAATCGGGTCTTGCATAGTAGGCTGAGAAGTGCGTTCTGGCTACTAGGTACGACATATATATATATATATATGTTGTACCTAGTAGCCAAAACGCAGTTCTTGGCCTACTATGCAAGGCCCGAATTGCCTAATGAGCCAAGTTTTCCAGAATTTAAATATTTTTCTATATTTTTTCCTATGAAATGATAAAGCTATTCATTTCATTATGTATGAGCTATTTTTTTTAAATTTGAGTTAAAGCTGATGTAGATATATGACCGAACTTAACCAACCCTACCTAACCTAACCTATCTTGACAGAGCTCGAGTGCTTGGGGGGGAATTGTGTAAAACCTCGGTTTGTGTCTCGGAGAGGCTGTAGAGTCCATGTGAAGGCAGTAGCACTTCCGGATGTAATTCTTTTGATCATGTCGTGGCGCAGTCTCGAATAAGGCGCATCTGGGATCATCTCGAAAGAAGGTTTGAACCCTCAATATGGCCCTTGTGGATTTGTTCACATGACACAGAAGTTTGGGATTATATACTCAACTACACCTGATTAGACTGTTGTTGTTGTTGTTTTAGATTTAGCTACTCGGAACTAAAAATTTCCATGTCGCACGGGTTATGGTGAACCTGTAAGAGGTTTTGGTTCGACCTGATTATACAAAGAACCACAAGCTAAAGCATCAATGGAGGTGAGATTATAAAGCAATATTAACTGGGTATAAATGGGTATTAATATCCATTTATACCATATTAAATATCTACGTTTAAAACCCTCTAATTTTTTACAGTGCAGGCCATGCAATCCATATTCATCTACATCAGCCTCGCCTTAAATACAACTATATACAGTGTGGATTGGGGCAGCAAGGTGGAGGGCAACTGTAATATGAAGCCACTGTCAATCTAGACATGTACTTGTTGCCATAATAACTGCCAAAAGAAAATTCCCTGCATGGGGAGCACAGACAGCTGTGAGGCGAGCACAGTTCCTGGATTTGTTGCCTCCAATAGAGCTGTGACTTCTTTATCTATGATGGGGCTGTCGTAGCTCGATTGTTTCTTGGATTTCAATAGGGTTGGTCTGATTGCTGGGGCTGCCAGGGCACACCATTTTGTGCTCCACTCCGTGTAGTGGGGGTCATGCATCTAGTGAGAATATAAAAAGCATCGTGAACATTGATGTCACCGGTCCTATCTTGCCTTAGTTCCGAGATTTTTTTATCAAGGACGCGACAATGGCATTAGGCCCAAGAGAGGCTCCAAGAAGAGTGCTGCCTGCGGGTCTAAACACACGGAGTCCAGGTAAGACGGATTTTACTCCACCTATGATGCTTGAGTTTGAGGAGACTTTCGCACATGGAGGGATTTACGACGAGACCTAGGTATTCTCCTCATCTACTAGAATTTATATTTATTCCTATTCCTATTTATTTACATTCCCAAATATAAGGAAAAGGACCTCAGTGCTGCCATTCACGACCAAAGTTCACATTCACTCCAAAACATCTACCACTTACCCGAAGCCACCTCTTGGATGGCTAAATCTGCATCAATCAATCAATCAGTACTGCGTTATACACGACTTGATAATGATCCAGGACATACCGTAACGTTGTCGTTTTTCCATCTTCTGATGTGTGCTTTGGTCTTCATATCTTCAGGCCACGTTATTGTGAGTACTACTTCAGCTGTTTCACTCATTACTTCCGAGGACCATGCACTCATTCTCCCTTAGGTTCATGCATTCATTATCCCGTAGAACCAGTCACTCATTCCCCCTAGGACCGATCACTCTTTCCCCCTGGGACCTTTCACTCATTCCTCCTAGGACCATACACCCATTCCACCTATTACCATACACTCACTTCCCTCCTAGGACTAGGATCTTGCGTCATATGGTAACTGACGTGGAACCAGACACGTGGGATCGGAAAATACAAGCGTGCGGCTGATGTATTATGTAGTACGTCAAGCCATCAACACCTGGTTTTTGAGCAGGTGTTTGATGGGGGTTCCGGGGTGACGTTCGAGCAGATATAATGCACAGGAGTCAGCTTCATGAGCCACCAGTCGTCATCCTCACACCATCGACAGCGAAGGCGAGTCAAGTGACTCTGTAGAGTACTTGTGGTGTGTCAACCGTTTGGCGACTGTCACCCAGTTCACGAAGCTATTGAGACGACTTTCGGGGCCGTAACAGCGAACCGCCAGTCACCAACAGTGAGATAAGAGTCCTCTCTGCAGCCAGATATCAGCACCATGAAGTCGATGTATTTGTTGATGGTCTTCTGCGTCTTCCTGGTGAATGCTGAGGACAGCACTACCGGATCCGAATCCGAACCCGTGGGAGCATCGCCACACAGCAGCAACGGTTCAGCTTCCGGTGAGGTATGTCAAGGAGCTTTCCTATTTCTTTTCCCATCTTACCCGCCTGATAACGCATAATGAGGTGGCAGCCATATATGGAAATATAGTATACCTGGATATATATAAATGCGGATTTCACATCGATCTGCGTCTTTCAATTTTCTTCCTGCTTCGTCCGAGGGAGTGGCGAAAATCAGTCCAACTTTTCCCATTCCGTTCATATATTTTTAAAACTTTATACAAACACCAGAGACATCTTCAGGAATAATAAAATAATTTTCAAATTTTGTTAAAAATTACCAAACTTGAGTATTACCACGATCTAACGTAATACTGGAGGAGAGGGCGTGTTAAATTACGGCAGGCCTCCTACCTGTGGTGGCGTAGGCCTACAGTGTGCCCCAGGCCTCACTAGAAACTACTGACTTGGACGTGGATCATCCAGGACCTACATGTCAAAGTGGCCACCCCACGGGAACGCCTAAAGTTCCAATTGGGCAGCAGATAGGTGCCGCTGGAAATCTTCCTTATAAGGGGTGTTGGTGGCTCAGTAGGTAAAGCCCCGTCCACTGTCAATGCACGGTTCGATGCTCCGAGCCTCGGCGGTTCGAGGCTCCGAGCCTCGGCGGTTCGAGGCTCCGAGTGTCCAGGTGAATGAACTGGAAACAAAATATAATCACTGCATTTTGTACATAGTTTTTGGAATATTGCTGATCGGTCAATGATTCCATCAGACGCTGTTCACTTAAAGTGTAAATTCTCCAAACATCTGGGAAAGTTTGTTTGGGAATATTTCTTGCTCATGTGCGCGATTTTGTTGTGGATTTTGTGTTTATTCGTTGATAAGTTGGCAACGCTTGCAGGAGAAAAATATATATATATCTGTTAATACGAGATCTCGAGATTATGTGTGTTTCTTAGACATGATGTTTAGTGCTATCGACATACCAGGCCTTCCGATATCAACATACTTTCTTTTGCAGATATCGATACACGATATCTTGCAGCTATCGTAATTAAATTATACAAGACACAACTAGAATCTTTTTGAGTCATATAATTAACTTTTAAGAAGCTATTGACACGATCGCATTTTACATTTTTAACGCATTTGGAACAAAGTTTATATAAAACTCAGAATATTGTGGAGCGCATAGAATATATATTTTCTCGTCTATGAAATATTAAAATAAAAAAGATTTTGATACCATGCCCACAATTTACTGTGGGTTACAAATCACATTAACTGTTTCGCTACAACATATATTAACTTTTATTTACAAAATATACTAACTTTGGTTTACAAAATTTTCGTGAATAGGTTTGAAACCCGTTCAGTAGATTAACTTACAAATAAACAAACGTAGAGTTCAAGTAGATAGCCCAGTCGTAGATAGTCGATAGATAGTAGATAGTCTGTTTGGAGAGTAAACAGGTTTATCATAAAGCAAGTGTATGTCACCATAACAGTACAGGTGTATGTCATTTGGTTTCTTATCAGTCCAGCACTTGTCATACATGTGTAATGTCTCTTTGTACACAGAGTCTGTATATGTAAGTATTATCAAACACACACACACACACACACACACACACACACACACACACACACACACACACACACACACACACACACACACACACACGCCTCTCAACTGTCAGTCAACAGGTGTACAGGTTCCTGATAGAGCCCAATAGGCTCAGGAACCTGTACACCTGTTGATTGACAGTTGAGAGGCGGGACCAAAGAGCCAGAGCTCAACCCCCGCAAGCACAACTAGGTGAGTACACACACACACACACATCTTACAATGTGTATACATTAATATATTTTATGTTTTGATCTTACAGATGATTGGGTATAACCGGATCGTCCCGGAACTGACGATGCCTCACAGAACTCTGCCTCTGGGCCAGCGTTCTACATAAGTGCCACAGGACTCCGGTGCTGTGGAACTAATCCATAGCTATATCACCGGACTATGGAGCAGGGACGCTGTTCCACGGACACATTACTGAACTATGAGACGATACCAATTTCTTAAAGACTTAAAACACGACACTTTTCCGTAGAGATACTGTAGGGTTTTGCAGTAGGGTTCCACAGAAATACTGTATGGACTGCAGCAGTGTTCCATATAGATACTGTAGGGGCTGAAAGGGGTTGATAGACCTGAAGCCCAACACCAAACAAAGGGTTAATTTGACTTACAAACTAAAAAAAATAGTTTTTTGTCCACTTCCGTTCAGTTCCTATGGTTCGAAATTGGAATTAGAATCCCATTCTGACATGGCTGAAGACCTTGAAATGTAATTTTATGCAAAGCTGATTTAAAGAACAATGAGGCGTCTTAGTGTGGTTTTCTGAATCCTAAATAAATATGAAGACATAATAATAATAATAATAATAATAATAATAATAATAATAATAAATCTTCAAATATTCTAGGTTCATAACTATAATGTTATTGTTGTTTTAGTGAACTCTGTCAAACCTGTCAAATGTTTAAGGATTTATTAATAACCATTGTGTTATTTGTTTCCCTGCTTGAAGATTTGGATACGCGACGCGACCATCACGACCACCACGACCACCACGACCACGACGACCATTATCCGTATGGCCCGTCGAGCTGCAGCGTTCAGACAACATCGTGCACTAGCCGAGGGGGAGTGTGCCAGGGGCCGTGTGACACCACTACTCAGTTTGTGCTGAAGGGCAGATGTCTGGGCCAGTGTTCCTGCTGCGCCTCTAAGCCTGCGAGTGAGTGACATGTTGTCGTGCTCGCTCTCTCTCTCTCTCTCTCTCTCTCTCTCTCTCTCTCTCTCTCTCTCTCTCTCTCTCTCTCTCTCTCTTTCTTTCTCCATTAACTTTTCCAGCTATGAGTAAGACAAAATTGTTTATTCTTTTTTTATTTATTTTATTTATAGTTGCCAGTATTTATACTGTCAATTCTTCGGTCTTTGGTTGTGGCGATGAGTTTAGAACCCAAATCTTTGAGAAATTTCCTGTATAAGATGTATCTGCATCCCAATGAGTTATTTCGCTCCTTGTATGATTTGCCCGGGTGAACACACAGGTCTTGTCCCCCATCTCCGCTATTCTTCCTGGGATGTTATGCGGTCCCACCGAGGCGACCAGAGGAAGTGTTAGTTACGACTCGTAAGAAGACGAGATTGTCTCTCTTAACACTGGGCTACGGTTAGGCTTAGTGATGCTGTTGACTTCATCGTGTGTTGCATTCCATGCCGGAGAGTTTCTGCAGGTTAGACCCTTAAACCGTGCTTGTCGGCTTCTGTCTCGCCTCGCAAGCTCTCACGGCGCTAAGCTCGGTCACTACACCAGAGCAATCCCAGACGGACTGTTTGTTGATTTCAGACAAGAATGTGTCATCCAACAACTAGATACTAAGCTCTCGTGACAGCCTAGACAAAGTCCGTCTGGTCTGCAATGTTGACCAAGTCGGTCCTGCTCGGAGGGCCACATCACAGCATCAGGGGGGGACAAACCAAATCGAAGTTAATCTGGATTCAGCATTACAGCCTCTCCCTGGCTACCTGACTCAAAATGAGAGACCAAATTTCTGTGTTGTATTACTTAGCTTTAAGTTCATTATCTATACAATTATTTACTTGTTTATTAAAAACTAACACGCACGACCTTTGTCCACGAACCACACAAGCATGCACCGCTTTCGCCAACTGCACGACCGCCAAGGGGTCGTGCTCGACCACCGCCTGCCTGGTGACGCAGAAGGCCGTCGCCCACGGCTGCACCGGCAGCACCTGCACCTGCTGCGCCCCCAGAGGTGAGTCTCCCAAGGGGAGATTTCTACACCCCCTTGGGGGTAGAAATAGACTAAGCTACTCTATCCCTTTGAGATGTATTTCTTTCTTGTCTCAATAAACATAATTGAACTTGAGTCTCCCCGCTGGTGATGATTATTATTATTAGAGGAGTATATCCAGGAAGGCTGACAACCGGTTAGTAGTGAAAACCTGTAATTCTTATGGGCTAATCTTGTGGAAACTTTTGGGACACCTTTGGGATACCTTTTGGGAAACTGGAGCTTCAATAACAAAGCTCTTGGGTGTTTACGTTGAGAAATTATAAAGACTGTATCTGTATTCCTCTAAATAATTATCTCTCCGTTGTCGAGGACAGGAAGCCTGTGTCTATATACGTACTTTAGGCTTGTATCAAGGTCCTCCCCTTTCCCTCCCCTCCCCCTTCCCCCATTCCCTGTCCCCTTTCTCCCCCTTCCCCACTCCCCCTTCCCCCCTCCCCCCTCCCCTTCACAGCTTAGAATTATTGACCTTCCGCAGGATGCAACCCTGATAAGAATTGCCAAGCTCCCGAGTACTTATGTTTACTGTTAGGTAAACAAAAAGACAAAAAGATTAGGTGAAAGGAAACGTGCCCAATCATTTCTAAGAACCTTCCCCCACGCCCCCCCATTTAGACTTCAGTAACCTCTGGTTATGCTTAATTGCCAAAGGAGAGCGTAGATAGTACGAAGATAATATGACAAACTAGGTCGTTAGCACACAGAAGAACAAGAAGGTTGCTTTACTGCTCACTAAGCAGTAAATACGTACCTGTGATTTAGTCGACTATTGTGGGTTGAATCGTAGGTCAGGCTTCGTGTCCCCGACGAGGATAAACCACACACGAAGCAATCTTTACATAGGCTCTTCTAGGTTAGTATAGAGGCAGAGTGCAGAGGGGTAATGCCTGCGGACACTCTACAGACTGTGATCCAACCACCTCGTGCAAAAGAGCTGGAGGATTCTGTGCCATAACCTGCGCCAAGGGACAGGAGGTGATCGCCAACGGCTGCTCCGGCACCCAGTGCCAATGTTGTGTTAGAAGTAAGTACTTCCTTGTTTATGTACTGAGAGAGGCGTGTGTACATCACGATCAACTATCTCATTCAGTAATGAAGTGTTTCAGTGTTGCCACAGTTGTTTACATACTGCTCTAGTAGTAGCATATAACGGATATATTTGACATTTGTTTTTTTTCACCTCTTAACAAATAAATAAATAAATAAATGTTTATTCAGGTAAAGTACATACATACAAGAGGTTTTTATAAAAATTGATAGATTTATAGATAGAGCTAGTACATACAATGTCTAAAGCCACTATTACGCAAAGCGTTTCTGGCAGAGGAAAACAATGCCCAAACAACCACGATAACTGTGTACGTCCAAGTGTAGCCCACACGAGCAACTGTGTGTTGCAGGGTGCTCGAGCAGCGAGGAGTGCAGGGAGCACTCTGGGGTGTGCGTACGCAGGAACTGCAGGAACACTGAGAGGCAGATCACCAACGGCTGTGGCGGACAAGGCTGCCGCTGCTGCGCTCCTGCCAGTGAGTATACAGCATTGAGGATGTCTGCATGTCCCCAGCAAACACATAGTGTACCCACGACGATTGGTTGTTCGCCCTTGCTTACCCAACAGTAATTCCGGGGGGACCTGGTTGTTAACCTATTGGCGGGTTGTGTTCCAGGGGAACTAGTATGGTAAGGCTATCAACTATGGGGAGGGGTGAGCGCTCCGGGGACATATGATCGCAGGCACCTGCTCTGGGACTCATTGCCAATGTTGAGATGGAAATGCATACTAAGTAATGGAACAAATTATCTCGGTAGCATAACAGACGTGAGATTACTGGATTGTTTCAAGCGTAGGTTAGACATATATATGAATAAGTATTCACACAGGGGAGAAGAACTAAAATAATCCGAACCCTTTCGCGTATCAACACATTTTCATGGCATACAGCTATACTGTGTTCATTGAAATTTTTAAAAAATGCACGGAAGAGTTCGAGTTAGTCTCACTTTTATCCTCTGTGTGGATACTTCAGCATAACTGAACCACGTGTTTTTGTGATTAATTTCATGTGATGAGTTTCCAAGTGCATATCACCAGAACTAGAAGTCATATCATTTGGATTTTTTTGAGCTGATGTTATGGTGACTTCCATGAGGCAGTTGAGGTTCAAGATGATTCATGAGGAAAAGTTTATTTTTACTATATTAGGTGGATATATATATAGGAGCTGCATCGTATGGGCCAATAGGCCTTCTGCAGTTACCTTCATTCTTATGTTCTTACTATGGGAAGAGAAGTACATGCAATTTATAAGGAGCATAGGTTAGTTATGAAGAGAACGGGGTAATTATGATGTGTACTTATAAAATAATGAGGACCATAGGCTAATTATCAGGATCACGGGATAGTTATGGGGAAAACATGGTATTTATGAGACGCACATACAAGTTATGAGGAGCACTGACAAATAATTAGCTCCATAGATTATAACAGCGTTCTTGACGAATTGTTAAAAGATGTATAAAACTCTCAAAACCATTACAAAAAAACAATGCAACTATCCATTTGATCATACTTGCTATACTGTTCTGAATGTAAACCACTTGTAAATGTTTTGTTTACAGTTCGTGACGCCGAGGAAACAGGAGACATAGGAGCAGCAGAAGGCGCCGTAGCAGCAGAAGACGCAGCAGGAGACATGAGCGAAGCAGAGGAAACAAACGAGGAGACGGTAGTGAAGCAGGAAGGAGAAGAAGGAGAAGAGCAGGGCGAAATAGGAGAGGTGGAAGAGACGGTAGTAAGGGCAAGTGGAGAAGGCACCGGGGTACAGGAAGACGATGAAGAGGAGGAATAGGAGCTTTGTGCCCTAGCCCACCCTCACACGTGCGCTATAGGACTGACGTAGCTTTCGTCACACGTGACCACCTGACTTGACGTTACACGTGACTTTAGCTGAAGTCACACGAGACTTCACCCCTTTGGGAATGTTTTAGCTTTTGTGTGCATCTTCTTTTGTGAATTTAAGTGTTGATGCTGGTTTATTTCACGCAATAAAAAATCAACAAAAAAGAATGTTTAATTGCCTTTCCAGCACATTAAAAAATTATCATTATATATATATATATATATATATATATATATATATATATATATATATATATATATATATATATATATATTTTGGTAGCAGTCTTTCCTGTAGACATATATTATTAAATATGACCGAAAAAGTAAGATTAATAATTCTAACACGAATTTTCTCAATGTTTCTTACATTTTTCTTCACTGTTGACGGTAACTGAAAAATCAATTCTCCAAAATTCCAAAATAAAAATGAATTTTGGAGAATTGAATTTTCAGTTACCATCAACAGTGAAGAAAAATGTAAGAAACATTGAGAAAATTCGTCTTAGAATTATTAATCTTACTTTTTCGGTCATATTTAACAATATATATATATATATATATATATATATATATATATATATATATATATATATATATATATATATATTGCTAACAATCATATCATAGATAATAAATAACATTTCATTCACATAGCACCATCGGAGCCTCGAACCGCAGATCACAAAATCAGAGGCCGCAGCTAAACCTACCAAGCCACCTACTATTCTTGTGGTCTGCGTTCGAGAGGCTCCTATTAATCTCTTTGATCTGTGGTGGTGTCAACGAATCTGGTATTCTTTGAGAAAGCTCTGTAGGCACCCCGGCCCCCTGGGGGCAGAGCGTCTCAGACGCTATGGAAACAAAGGTGGGTTCTGACTTTCCAGTCACCAGTTAGTATATGTAAAAATATGCCTAACCCAGCCTAATATTTGGCTTAATATTGCATGTATTAGGACTTAGATTGCTTTTATTAGTCCCAGGTTATGCTAGGTTAGGTTAGGTAATACGGAAATAATACCTCACTAGTAATTAGCAGTAGCTCCATTTGCCCAACCACTTGGGGTGGACGGTAGAGCGACGGTCTCGCTTCATGCAGGTCAGCGTTCAATCCCTGACCATCCAAGTGGTTGGGCACCATTCCTTCCCCACCGTCCCATCCCAAATCCTTATCCTGACCCCTTCCCAGTGCAATACAGTCGTAATGGCTTGGCGCTTTCCCCTGATAGTTCCCTTCCCTTCCATATAGTGAGCACCTGTATAACAAAACATTATCACATCCAAGCTGTTGAAATATATTTTAGTGTGTTGAAGTGCTTTCTTTTCCCGATTGATTGTACAAATTTTCCCCAATTGATGAAATTTTCTCTGAACAATATAGTAATTAAGACACCTAAACTGAAAAATGTCGAAACAATATCAACAAAAATTTTAATTCCATATAACTATATGTAATAGAATTGTTCATCAATGTAAACAAAAAATACAATATTCCAACTTTTGTTTTATTGTTTTATTTATACATCTACATACAGCGTTGAGGGTTGGTTTCTGAAGAGAAATAATTAACAACAAATTTCGGTGACATTAAAAATTAGTTAAAGCCTCTTGTCATTATATCGCTAGCGGATAGCGGGTGCTACACTTAAGGGTACACTGAGGTATACTCACCGAGAGGCATACCCCGCTCCTCGGTGTACATACACTGAGAGCTTACTTAAGATTTGGACTACGTTCAGGACTACAGCATAGTTGCTGGCTGGTCAGTAAACTGTTGTGGTGACCTTAATAACCCCCTCCAGAGGATGACAGGTCATAACAGGTCTCAAGAGATTGATAAGTCTTAATAATCCGCCATTCAAATTCAAATTCAAATAAGTCAATTGAGGTATAAATACACACAAAGGGGACGAGGTAGCTCAAACTATTCTCACCCCGTTTAGTACAACGTGTTCATATATATATATAGACACATCACAAGCAATCAACAAGTCACGGGACATTCTGAGTGATAAATATATACGTTTCTTCCTTTACACGTGGAATCAAACTTCCAATCCGCCATAGGTTGATAGACCTTACTAACCAGTGTTATGAACTCCAGGTAGCCTCATGAGGTAGGTCTGCCTTGTGAGAGATATTCCCCACCTGACTAGATAAAATGAATTAAACCCAGAAAACGTCAGTAATTATGACTAAGGGGAAGGCGAGCAGAGGGCAAGCATCTTTAAGAAACGAGGTAAGATAAGATGTCGACAGTATGTTATGAGACGTGACGTGAACGGAGGTCTTAAGTCACTTGAGTCGTGAGAGTCGACGGGGACGGATGTACGTCGTTGCTTCCTATGAAGAAGGAAGTGTGGGAAATTTTTACCCACTATGTAATATCTATAATCATCTAAGAAATGTATCATATCTTTATCATATCAAAATCATTATAGATTCATTATACATCTTGATCCTAGATGACAATGCCCCTAGGATCACGTATGCCATAGGGCCCTATAGGTGCCTACGTGACTTTGTGCATGATCTCTCAAGGATCCAGAAGCTTCTAGAAGGATTTCTTAATTAAAAAACTTTTGAAACATGATTTGATTTCCGGTAGGGATTATAAATCGAATCCTTAATAAGAATCAGTGGTACTATCAAGTACTACTTATAATCTTTATATCCTATATCTAATTTTATTATAATCACATCTTATCTCAATCATAAGTCTAGACAGTAAAAATAATCAATCAATATTCATAGAAGGCTACCGTGCTCTGGGAGCAGGGGGGGGGGGTGATGGCTGAGAGAGAAGCGCCCACGACACCCGCGCACTATGCGTTTGTTGACAAAACAGTGAACAAGTGTGAGGGTACCTTAGTGAACATTACTTAGCTCAGGACACCTTATCGAATTATCTTTATCACCAGTGAACACTAGAACTGGGGGAGTACCTGGACAATATATCAACAAGGAAAATTCCTAGAACATTTATATAAGTGTAGAGTGGAGCACACAGTGACTCTTATCTCCACCTTCACCATCAACTATCATCCTTCTGCAACCGCAGTTAAAGAAAAATCACGTAGCAATGCTATAAGAACAATCTACAGCAAAGCTGTTATATAAAATATCGTGCCTAAACTCGCGACAAGAGAGTTATCAAGTCTGGCACACTGTCAGACAGGCATTCCAGCAGTCAGTGAAGTATATTGATGTTATTGAGTATTGATTGCCCAATTGTATGCTTGTATGACTTGAATATCCTATAAGTCTGTCTGTCGGTTATAAAGCGAGGCAACGCCTCATATTTCAGTAAGTTTATTAATATTGTACAGCAGTTGAATCTTTATCCAAGCATGAGAGTCCATTGTGTAAGAAAAGATTCAGTCACGATAAATAAACAAGACCTCATGAGCGTCCATGGTGTGGGAAAAGATTCAGTCAGGCTGACTGTACCTCATCATATAAAGTGAATATAAATACATCTGCATATATACTTGAATATATAAATTAAGTTAACAATTGCTTGCTTAGTTATTTTTTAAGTTATCATATAAGTTCATTTAATTGAATATAATTTCTAGTACTTAGACTACATTTAAAGTCATTTATTATACTTTTACAGTTTAAAGTGTTGTTTATAGTATAAGAATATATTGGCTGTTAATAGTTATGGTGCTAGGCTAGACTATGTACATGTTTAAATCTTTGATTTAAACAAGAGCCAGTGTTCAGTCATATAACTGAATTTATTAAATCTTATCCTTGTATAAAATACAAGCTGATGTGAGATCCCTGTCTACAGGTGGACTGGAACTTCTATCAACTAATTCATTCACCCCACCTGCCCCTTACAGCCCACAATCTCATTAGGAAAAGAGGAGCTAGGATTTACGACCCTAGCTAGAGATTTTAGTTGAATTAATTTGCAGACAGTAATTTTTAATTTAGTTCAGTACAAGTCCCTGGTAGTCTCCTCTCATCTCAATCCCAGCAGGTTTTTCCCACAAGAAGTTTGTAGCTCATGGTGAAGAATTTGAGAGAAACTTACGAGATCAACATGTGAGGAAGCTGTTCGAGGACGACGTGTAACGTATCTCTGGTATCTTGGTAACGATATAGGGGCAGCCTGAAGCCTATTGAGTGGTCGTGCCTTTGTGGACCCTACTGTGGGAAAATCCTTTTAGTGAATCTATTGAACAGGCGTTCCTGTGTCGCAACTGTTAGGCGACTTCTCACGCTCAAGTCTTGACGCGTAGGAGCCGATAGTGGCAAGTTCAAGAGGAATTTGTGGACGACCTGGTAGGGCGCCATATTTATTGCGCCGGTGGACAGGCGTCGTCGCACCATCCTTCAGCGGTTTGTACAGTGGAACTACACGTTTATAATGGAGTTTGTAGAGTGGAACTACACGTGTAAGATGGAGTTTGTATAGTGAAACTCCATGTGTATGAAGAAGCTTGTGTAGTAGACCTACATGTGTATTATGAAGCCTGTGTAGAGGAACTTCACGTGTATGATGAAACCTATGTAGTGGAACTGCCTGTAGATGGTGGAACTTCAGGTAACAGTGGTACCTGATGGACAGGAGTCGTCGCTAATGAAGGAAGCAGCAACATAGGAGCTTCAAGAGTACCTACTTAATTCGAGGACTCATGGATAGATGAACCTAAAAATGGTTTTCAGGACGTAATACAGAGTTATATGGACATCATTATTGTTTGAGGGAGTGCATGAATTCATGTGTCATGAATGACACAGTGCAAGCTTAATGTTTTCTTGTTTGAGTTAAATTACAAATACAAATACAAATATTTATTCAGGTAAAGTGCATACATACAAGGTGAAATACAAAAGTTGATGGATTTATAGATAGAGCTAGTACATACAATGCCTAAAGCCACTATTACGCAAAGCGTTTCGGGCAGCGAAACAAGCAAAACAAACAAACGAAACAAACAAAATTAAATGTAAGTTACCTAGCCCAGACGGTGAGAAGGGGCAGGAGATTGCTGGTGAAGATTAAGCTGCCTCCTAGTGTATTATATTTGTTGGAGCACCGGTATTATTTAAGCGTGATGCTAATTTATTGGACCTGATGATAATACTATCTGTTATTTCTTTATTCTTTGGGTTTTTGTAATAAATGTCTATCTGTAGACGCCTTTGCACTTGTCCTGGTGAGAAATTATAGAGAAAGAGAGAGAGAAACGGTTGCAGGTCGGTCGACAGAAGACATAATATCATAAAGAACTGGAAGGAGATCATCCCAAAGCAAGGACAGAGAGGATAAGTCATGGTGGCCCAGATGGATGTGATTTGACAAACGGGGCAGGATTTGAGCCGATTCCCCAAATAAAGTGACGTTGAGCCCCTTCTCCATAGGTAAGACTATTACAGGGGTGATTCTCTAGTGTGTGTTCCATTGGTGAAAGTAGTAGCAGGGATAGTAATTAATATTTATTTCTATATTATTTTATTGGGGGTAGCTGATAATAAAATACAGTAGTTCCCCTCCCAGATACCATCCAGAGAATGATGTGCCTTAATAACTCTATATAGGTTTATAGGTCTTAATAACCCTCCATAGGTTGATAGACCTTAAAAACCCTTCATAGGATGAAAGGCATTAATAACAGTTCATAGGTTGATAGGCCTTAATAACCTTCCATATGTTGATAGGCCTTATTAACCCTCCATATGTAAGTCTTAATATGGAATGTCTATCAAACCCCACCATAGGCTGATAGACCTTAATAACCGTTCATAGATTGATCGGCCTTTTTTGCTTCAAGCCTCAGTACTTCAAACCTTTGTACTTTAAAGCTCTGTACTTCAAACCTTTGTTCATTAAAGCTCTGTACTTCAAACCTTTGTTCTTTAAAGCTCTGTACTTCAAACCTTTGTTCTTTAAAGCTCTGTACTTCAAACCTTAGTTCTTTAAAGCTCTGTACTTCAAATTTCTGTACTGTAAACTTCTGAACTTATATTTTCTGTTTGCCTGTAGTACAAATGTATTACAAAAGAAAGACCACAAAAGACACTTGCAACGCCCGCGAGGATGTGGCCTGAGGAAGTTCACTGATTCCTGTGTCACAAGGCTCCGGACATGGCGCCAGACTCCTGTGTCACAAGGCTCCTGACGTGGCGCCAGACTCCTGTGTCACAAGGCTCTTGACGTGGCGCCAGACTCCTGTGTCACAAGGCTCCGGACATGGCGCCAGACTCCTGAGTCACAAGGCTCTTGACGTGGCGCCAGACTCCTGTGTCACAAGGCTCCGGACATGGCGCCAGACTCCTGTGTCACAAGGCTCCTGACGTGGCGCCAGACTCCTGTGTCACAAGGCTCCGGACATGGCGCCAGACTCCTGAGTCACAAGGCTCCTGACGTGGCGCCAGACTCCTGTGTCACAAGGCTCTTGACGTGGCGCCAGACTCCTGTGTCACAAGGCTCCGGACATGGCGCCAGACTCCTGTGTCACAAGGCTCCGGACATGGCGCCAGACTCCTGTGTCACAAGGCTCCGGACATGGCGCCAGACTCCTGTGTCGCAAGGCTCCTGACGTGACGCCAGACTCCTGTGTCACGCAGCTCCTGACGTGACGCCAGACTCCTGTGTCGCAAGGCTCCTGACGTGGCGCCAGACACAGGTGGCTCCCGGAACCAAAAACAAGAGAGCTGTTACGTCTGTAATGCGTCCAGCATCCAACACCTGTTCTTATAGCAGGTGTTTTGTGATCTGTGTTGACTTCCCGAGCAGAAATAATTCAGGAGAGAGAGGTAACTCAGTCAGTCGTCAGCCACACTTCATCAGCCTAGGTCGGACGCTATTGGCCCGTCTCCACTCGCTCAAGCCAACATAGACTGAGATTCTGAACAATACGTGGGTCGCGATATATAGTTTCTGAGGCTCTCACAGACGGCACTCGACCTACAGCAAAAGGGGTACTCCAGGCAGGACCAGCAGCCCACTCACCAGCAAGACACCGCAGCAATGAAGTCCTGGCACTTGCTGACCCTTGTGGTCGTGTCCCTAGTCGAGGCAGGAACCCACACACAAGGCCGACACGACCATGTTTCCGGTGAGGTAGGCTACTTGAGATTTTCTGCTGTCGTCTTGATTTTTGTTTTTGATTTTCCTGATTTGCTTACGGATATCAATTATAAATGTCTAAGAAAAGTGTAACACAATGTAATAAAGTAAGTAAAGCATATTGCATAAAATAATAACAAAGGACGGGTTGTAGGAAAAGAAAATACTCTAGTGTTCAGGGTCAATCTACAAGATCCACTTTGAATGCCCCTTATTCTCTTCTCCGAGGGTCTGGGTCCCTACAATTGCACCATTGTCTAAGGTATATATATATATATATATATATCCTGTATATATATATATATATATATATATATATATATATATATATATATATATACAGGATATATATATATATATATCCCCTACGGATGTTTTTTTTAGATTCTACCCTAGATTCTATTGTTTGTTATACAGACAATGCATTACACATTTAATAAGGAATTGTAATGACACATCTATAAGAAATGTGCGATACATTTTCAAAAGAATATAAAAACTTGTTATATTGTCAAGAATCTTAAAAGACATTAAAAAAAAATGAGACGCTCATCTAGCTCAAGGAAGCCATTATGAGGTTGTGTTGAGAACACATTCTCGGTTACATATTATTTATATGTGTCTGGTCGTTTTCAAAGCTTTAACAATAGAGACTTTTAATATGGTTAGCACAGTCGACTTACAACCGAATGTACCCGGGTTCGATTCTCGTGCAGGGCGAAACGTTTGAGCACGTTTCCTTATGCGGTTGTTTACCTAGCGGAAAATATACAGCAGAGAGTTAGGCGACTATTGTGGGTTGCTTCCTGGAGGACGTCGATAAACCTAAACTCTCTTTCTGTCCTTTATAATTGAAAACCATGTGTATAAAACTGCATAACAATATATAATTATATCATGTGATATATAATCGTACTTTTGCATGTTTCCTAAATCAAGACACTTTGCAAATATTCTTCATTTATGAATATGAGTCTAAATATAATATACAATTCCTTCGAAGAATAAGTGACAATCGGAGGCTAAAATATATTAGTAAAAATATATTATTTATCACAGATAAATGGAGATTGTCCCGTATGTATTACAGATGTAAATATAATTGTCAGATATTTCTATTGCGAACTATATGCAAGGAGCGTGACTATTTATTAAAACATTTGAATACGATGGGTAGTATAAATTTTTATTACGATTGTTATTATTATTATTACACAAGGAAATCACAATACTGCGATTTTCTCATTATTATTATTTGTTTATTCTTTCAGATGATGGAGATGAAGATGAGAAAGCTAGAAAGAAGTTAGAAATTAAGAGAAGCAAAAAAGAGACGTAGGACAGTTTGACACAGACACAGCGCCGGACACAGACACAGCACGGGACACAGGCTGTACGAGTGTCCCCATAAAGACAATACAACACAATATATATATATATATATATATATATATATATATATATATATATATATATATATATATATATATATATATATATATATATGTATATATATATATATATATATATATATATATATGTGTGTGTGTGTGTGTGGAGCTGCCGTGCATTGGTCTCATAGACATTCTGAAGTTTCTTTTATGATTATGTTCTAATGTACTGAGATTGATTAGTGAAGAAGTGTTTTCATGTGAATTTGGAGAGGAGGGCCGGGGATGTGATGGACAGAAACGGTGTGTGAGAGGAAAGATTCCTGCGTGTTCTCTTAGTTTTATATAGAAGAACTCAATCTTTTCTCATAGCTTTACATAGAAGGATACAAAACTGTTCTTTTAGTATTAAAGAGAAAGGCTCAACATTTCGCTTATTATTATATAGAAGGACTCACACCTGTTCTTGTTCTCAAGGTGATCCATGAGAACTTGTCACATTATTATATACTTAATCATTTAGATTTATTATTTTTCTTCAAGACGGGGATTTGAAATATGGATCAGGACAAAGCCACGAACACGAACATGAACACAGTCACGAACACAGCCACGAACTGGGGTGTTCAGCTCAGCGACTGTGCGACGAGAACGAGGGCGTGTGCAAGCGTTCGTGCAACGGTCCGATTGAGAACGAGGTACACGCCGGCTGCAGTGGGAGCGGTTGCAAGTGTTGCACTCGTAAAAATACTAGTAAGTGTATGCTTTTATATTTTATATTGCTTTTATTATTTTTTATATATGTAAGGGTAAAAATTAAAAAATAAATCACCCTTCTACCACACTACAGGAGTGACTATGTCTTGCAGAGTGTACCAGCACCGAGGAGTGTAAGGAGCACAGGGGGAAGTGTACACAGAGCAAGTGTAAGAGCACTGAGGTACAGATACGAGGCGGGTGTAGAGGACGAGGCTGCCGCTGCTGTGCCCGCTCGTGTTAGTGCTCTATTATACCTCTATACTACTCAACAAACTCTTGTGTCATAACACAAATAATAATAATAATAATAATAATAATAATGATTATTAATAACAGTAAGAATTAATAATAATAAAAATAATGGAACTCCCAAATGAAGTAAAAATAGCTCAACCCATATTTTATTATATGAAATTTTGCTCAGTCTAGCCTCAACTGTCTGTATAATGACTTGTTAGAAGCAATTAAGGATTAAAAATCACTTGATGTATTAATAAATTTCTCCATGATGGATTTTTACCAAAGTATCATAAAAGCCTAAAGAAACAGCTTCGTTGAGATAATATTAAGGTTTTGTGTTCTCAGTCCGCGACGGAGGAGAGGTGACCGCTGGAGGCGAGGCTGTCGGGGTGAACAATGAAAAAGGAACCAGCGAAGAGCAGACTAAAGAAGAGACTGTTGTGAAGCAGGAAGGAGGGGAAGAGTCTGTAATGAGAGGAGACGAGGACACTGGGGAAGAGGAGGAAGAATAGCAGATGAGCTACAGTTGAAACAAAAATATATACACACACATACACTATAACAACAATAACATGATGCGAGTACGCCATCACTAACATATGTCTACTACCAGTACTGTAGCATGATACATTACTGATTACTAGTACCTTAGCATGATACATTACCTACTACCAGTACCATAGCATGACACATGCCTACTACTATAACTTGATGTACTACCTGCTACCAGTACCATAACATGATACACTACCTACTACCACTACCATGACATGATACCCAGTACCATAACAGCAACAATAACAAACTAAGTGACCATTGTTACCATATGATACATACCATAACCGACGATAACTTACCATGTGTTACATGAATTACTTCATAATGATGGAAATAACATGTAAATGTACATGTTAATCTTAACTCTCGTACATGTTACATGTACATCTTAACATGTACAATAATGTATTAAGCTTAACTGGTATGTTTCACACATTTTACTCGTCATATTGCAATATGTTTAGAATTTTCAATGGTGATAGCTGGATAAGTTTTGATTTTGATGTCAAGAGTTTGCTTACAAAACATGGGTTTTAAGATATCATAGTGTATGCGTGTTTACTTCTGCCGGACTAGGCTGTTGAGAAACGAAAATTGTATTTAATTTTAGACAGTTTTGAAAAATTTTACATGATTAACTCTCTGCATATGCAATCAAGCCTCGACCAGGAACGGCAGCCTATTAACACAACTTGGATTTAGGTTTAGTTTTGAAATTTTTTACATGATTAACTCTCTGCATATGCAATCAAGTCTCGACCAGGAACGACAGGCTACTAACACAACTTGGCCCCTAACCTGTCAAGGAATAACAACCAAGGTATCCTAGCTAAGGTGAGGCAGCCATAACAACCCAGCCTTCCAAATTGACAAGACCTCCATCGCCATTCCTTACTTGCTTTCTTGGTGGTGTTTTCTGAGGCATTTTCTCTGGGGGATTTTGTATTTTGTTTCGTTTGATTTTATTACACAATAAAAAATATAATTACAGAACACGAGTTTAATTATCCTTACGCAAAACATTAGTTTTACTTTCTTATAGTAAAGAGAAGAAAATATTAGATTTTAAGACAAATTAAGGACACTGTAAGGAAGTTGGCACATGGGATATACATACACTGAGAGGTATACCACGTTTCTCGGTGTATATACACTGAGAGGTGTATCCAGCTTCTTGATGTATATACACTGAGAGATTGCTAGTCCTGGACTATGTTCAGGACTAAAGTATTCTTCCTGGTTTGTCAGTTAGCTGATATTGTTGCCCTTAATTAACCTCCCAGCGGTTATTAAGAGCAAAAAGGCAATTAGCAGGAATATTTCCCCTGAGAGGCCTATACCCCAGCTCGTCAGTGTTTATACACTAAGAGTCTACTACTGGATTATGATTTTGACTATAGTATACTTGCAGATTGGTCAGTAAACTACTGTGATTGCCTTAATAACACTCCAGCGATTGACAGGCCTTAACCAGAGATAACACCGAGCACCTTGTTTCACGTACATACACTTTATAGGGGTGTACTCCGCTCCTCAGGACACGCAAATCCTTGATGAATCCTGGACTAGAGCGACCAGATAGTCACACTCGTCCTCCAGGGAACTGGAACTCTCTCAAGTCCGGTGTATAGAGTTGCCTTCTCCTCACCTCGTCACGCCTGTTCACGCTCCCACGGTGCCAACCCCGTCACGTCGGTTGGGGAGCCAGCCTACCAGTTGGCCTACCACCAGTGTGTTACACCCTATTCTGTAGGTGTATCCACGCTCTCAGTCTTCTTGGATACTATTTTGTAGGTGTATGTGCTCTCCCCGGGCTTGTTGCACCCTATTCTGTAGGAGTTTCCACGTCACCGGCCCTGTTGCACCCTATTCTGTAGATGTATCAACGCTCTCAGGCATGTTGCACCCTATTACGTAGGTGTATCAACGCTCTAAGGTATGTTGCACCCTATTCAGTAGGATTATCTGCTCCTCTGTTGCCTAACACCTGCTACTGATCTAACCGCACGTATTTTTGTTTTCATGACTCAGGTGTCATGCAAGCACCTTTATGAACCTGTATTTCTGCATAAGAAAAAACTACTGGAATGTTTGCAGAGGTCACTTGGTATCCTCATGCGATGGTGAGGTTGGAAAATTGTCAATCATTTGAGTTGGATGATAGTGAGCTTGTCAACCTGCGTATTGTTCCTGTGCTTACTTTTTTTTTATCTTACATCTGTACACCTGTTCAGTCCAGGCACAGCTGTATTCGTTTGTATAAAATGAATAAAGGTTCTAAATTTCGAGTTATTGCTGATTCCAGCTTCATTTATATGGTTTTATAACATTTTTACAGTTTTTCCCCTTGTCTGTCTGTCTGTCTGTCTGTCTTTCTGTCTTTCTGTCTTTCTGTCTTTCTGTCTTTCTGTCTTTCTGTCTTTCTGTCTTTCTGTCTCTCTGTCTCTCTGTCTCTCTGTCTCTCTGTCTCTCTGTCTCTCTCTCTCTCTCTCTCTCTCTCTCTCTCTCTCTCTCTCTCTCTCTCTCTCTCTCTCTCTCTCATTTTTTGACCATTCATTTGTCTTAAGGTGTTTACCACTGGGATTTATCAGAACGCGTTACAAAAAGTCTCCGGCGTGACAATGGCTGTGTCAGCCGCGTGAGAGACTGGAGAAGTAATTGCCTGTAAAGCCCACTGGACAAGGCGATCTCGTACGCGTTTTTCACTCGTGGAGCGACACACAAGGAAGATCCGGCTGCTGGTTTCATCACGTCCTGAACCTCGACACATATTCCTAGTCGATCTACGGCTTGCCCAACACACACACACACACACACACACACACACACACACACACACACACACACACACACACACACACACACACACACACACACACACACACACACACACATTACGGTTGAGAGGCAGGACCAAAGAGCCAGAGCTCAACCCCAGCAAGCACAATTAGGTGAGTACACGCACACACATACTTAGGGGCCTCGCGGCTGAGTGGACAGCGCTCTGGGGTCGTAGTCCCAAGGGCCCCGCCAGAGGCAGAAACAAATGGGCCAGAGTTTCTTTTACCCTGGTGCACTGTTCACCTAGCAGTAAATAGGTATACCTGGGAGTTAGACAGCTGCTATAGGCTGTTTCCTGGGATGTGTTTGTGTGTCCAAGAGAAATATACGTTCTAGACAAAATAGAGGAAAACTAAATTGGTTAGAAAGGTGGAGTTGAAGAGCTAATAGCTTGACTCTGCAGCTACACAAAGTAAATATAAATAGTAAATGCATACATACATGTGCAGGCGATGAGTCACAATAACGTGGCTGAAGTATGTTGACCAGACCACACACTAGAAGTTGAAGGGACGAGGACGTTTCGGTCCGTCCTGGACCATTCTCAATCGACTTGAGAATGGTCCAGGACGGACCGAAACGTCGTCGTCCCTTCAACTTCTAGTGTGTGGTCTGGTCTACATACATACATGTTCCGGCTTCACTGGTAATCCAAGCCCGAGCCGGTGGGAGAGGGGGAAGGGGTTGAGTCCTGCTGCGTACCTTAGTGGGGGGATGGGGGGGGGGTGGTATCAGTGACCAGTGGGACGAGGCTCGGTATCGGATGGCCCACAACGGACCGGAGGACCGCACGCTGGCCCAGTCACTAGTCTCCGGGGGTTTTGCGAGGTTAGGACACGGTGGTGCTGCTCCGTGTCGTCGACACTACCGACGACCCCCGTGTCTCTTCCTAAAACGTTTAGCTGTCAGAAAGTTGGTGCTTGTGCTTCAACAGAAGAACGTTCCTCTTAGATCCAGCTGGCTGGTGAACACTTGCAGGATGAACATTTGAACAAATTTCAACGCAGACTTTATGGAACAAAACTTTCAGCGGTATTTACTTCAGGAAAATGTTTCCCCCACAGCAACGAGGTATATGTATGTATTTATATACAGGGTGATGGCAACCATGATGCAGTACACACAGTGTATGATAACCGTGTGTCATCATATCTGTATATTTTGCCTGTTAATCACATACGTTCTCTTGAATTAAACATTTAATATTTAAGTCACGTTCAGTTATTTATATTCATTATTTTGTACGGTGGTGGCGCGTCCACTGTACTGCCACGGCTCATTGTCATCAATCTATAAAGATCGAAGGTGCATTTTTCTTCACAGTGCACGATAGCATAGGCCTACAAATAATAAACATTAAAATGACTTGATCGCAGATGCCCTTTATTTTGTTTTTGTTTTTGTATGTGTACTAATTAATATATTTGTATATTGCTGCATAGTTTGCCAAGTTATGTTCAAGTGAGATAATCAAAATCTTCTGGTATATTTTTAACAATGCAAGCGCATATACTATACTAGAACGGATACCCAGCGGTGCTCAGGTTAGTATGCTCCCCCACCCCACTTCACCCCATCCATTCCACCCCTTTTTCCCCATTCTCCCCACTCTCCCCCTCTTCTCTCACACATGACATCGTACATGCTATGTTGAGCCCTTGTTATTAAATCGGAACTTGTTTAATACCCAACTTCAACCAGGTTTGTCACGCGAGCGATGGGCCTACAAGCTCCGCCCGTCCTAAACACACATAAATTGTAACTGTATAATGAAAAACTATATTTTTTTCCAAACAATATACATATAATTTCGTTTATCGTTATTTCTAGGTTAGGTTAGGTTCGGTTCAGTTCAGTTAGGTTAGGTTAGGTTAGGTGATTAGATTCTGTTAGCAATTATTTGTATTTGCATCACCTGGATGAATTATTTAGGTGTGCTATTGAACACCCTGACCTCATGCTACGCTCGTGCAAGCTGTAACCGATCCCAAAGGGTGTATACGTAAATTTTAACATACGTTAAAATTTACGTTATTTTCTCGAATCAAGATTTATATTATGATATATTACAGTTTTGTGCATAGTTAAGCCTAGGATATGTGAGATGTTTTGGTTCTGTTGGCAATATTCAAGAGAATATTGCCAACTTCGTTCTCTCAGTGAAGAGAACGAAGCAGAGTTTCATAGAATTTCAAACTGAATCAGTTGTGAGTCATGTATACAGGGTTTTTCTTCCATAAACAGGTTGTTTGGCATTGACCAACGTTTATAAAGACGGTCTATCATAAGCAGGGGGAGAAGGCTAATAGTTCAACATACCAGTGATTATAAGGATGGGCTGACATTTAGAAAAGCTGCTTCGAACACCTCAACAAGTGAGTGAAGCAACTGTCGAAACGTTTATGCGTAATCAGTTGTGAGTCCCTAATAAACAGTTTGGCTCGTTACTCCAGCCGCCAAACACCTTATTTGTGAGTGAAAAGCACTCTGCACGCGATTCACAAGTGATTACTGTCGAGCTTTGATCAAACAGAGCAATTAATATTTGTGATGATGTATACTGTCACTCCTGTGACTTGTTAATATTACAAAATAATAAAACACTCCTGTGTTTTATTAATTTACATATTAAACTAACTAACTAACTAACTAACTAACTAACTCTCACACACTCACACTCACTCTCACTCTCACTCTCTCTCTCTCTCTCTCTCTCTCTCTCTCTCTCTCTCTCTCTCTCTCTCTCTCTCTCTCTCTCTCATATAAGCAGGTGCAGCAGCAACAGGAGCAGCAGCAGCAGCAACAGGAGCAGCAGCAGCAGTAACAGGAGCAGCAGCAGCAGCAGGAACAGCCGCAGGAAACCTTTAACAATGATACCCCGACACACGTTGCTTCTCTGTCGTCTCGTGACAGGTAACGAGTCGTCGTTTTTATTCACTCACATCTCTCTGATCTTTGATTAAGAAAACATGAATCTGAGATAACATCGTATAAGTTGTTAGTGTTATAAGTGTGTATGTGAGAGCTCGTATGTGCAGTTGTCTGTGTATGTGCAGGTGTATGTCTGTTGCAGTATGTGATCATTCTGTGTATTCCATTGACTGTGCGTTTAATTATATATATGTGGGTGTTGCTGAGTACTTGAATGTATGTGTTTAGTGAAGGTTGTTGTTGTGTACATGGATGTGTGCGTGTGTGTAGTCATGACTGTTGTGTATAGCCATGTAGCCATTACTGTTGTGTACACCCCCACCAAATCCCCATGAGCCTTTGGTAGGCCTAATACCTCCAGACTTTCCATTGCAATTCTTCTATGCTCAAATAGCATGATATTTTTGTTCCTCTTGAGTCTCATGTACACAAACATCATTAAGTCCTTTTGATACATTTTTCTTCCAGGGGAAACACATTATTTTTAGGGATGTTTAATCAACTTTTATTCTCATAGGATTGTGTAATAGCTTACGTTTAATCTTTATTTGGGGGAACATTGCAGCAAGCAAGAAAAAAAACATATAAGCAGAGCAGATCAATGATACTGACCGTTGAGGTAAGTTTGAGTGTATATGGGGTTAGGTTAGGTTAGGTTAGGTTAGGTTAGGTTAGGTTAGGTTAGGTTTGGTCTTTAGTGAAATGAGAGTTTGATACGTAGAGGGAAACGCCCACGCACCTTCGTGCTTCCCCTATTTTGGTTCTTTTTGTATTTATTTGTTTACACACAGGTGGGTACAGGAACAGTCGACTGCTGACAATAGTCTGAGAACTGTCAGTTCAACTATGTTCATAGATATACTATGGGGGGGGTATACCCGGGCACCCCTCTCCCCCCATTCAACCCCTCTTCTCTCGTGTCCTTCATTACACCCTTTGTCCCTATTCCGTTCGCTGGGCCTTTCCCTCACCCTCAATCATTCATCCCCCTTTTTCACTATAATCCCCCCCCTCTCGCCATTCCCCCTCCCCCCTCTCCATTATCCCCTTGGTCATCTCTCTCCACCTTCCCCCTTTCCCTCACTTCCCCCTTCTCTCAGAAAATGTATTATTTATAAGACCCCTTACCCCTCCCACTCACCCTTCCCCCCTCTCTCAAACCGCGAGAATACTTCCGCGAGAATATACTAATATATACCGCGCTGTTCCAGTGGTGGTTCTCGCACTATGTACAGTGGGACACATCACCGATGCTGTGCAACACACCCGAGGTGTCGCCAGTGATGAGTCGTCAAGATACGGTCGCTCTACGGTGAGTATATTTACCTGGATTTATCTGAATGATGAAGATTAAGCCACCCAAGACTTGGCACGGGCGAGAGAGAGAGAGAGAGAGAGAGAGAGAGAGAGAGAGAGAGAGAGAGAGAGAGAGAGAGAGAGAGAGAGAGAGAGAGAGAGAGAGAGAGAGAGAGAGAGAGAGAGAGAGAGAGAGAGAGAGAGAGAGAGAGAGAGAGAGAGACAGACAGACAGACAGACAGACAGACAGACAGACAGACAGACAGACAGACAGACAGACAGACAGACAGACAGACAGACAGACAGACAGGTAAGTACTGAGGTTGGGCTGTGAGTGATTACCTGACTCACTGACTTCGCTAATTTGGCTGCCTTGAATGACAGACCGACACAGGGACAGGCAGACGAAGGGATGGTCTGAGTGGTCTTCATCGTGGACAGTAATTTGCATATTATATATCCCAAAACTGAAAATAATTAGATGTGAAGAAAATTTAATTTGTTTTCTTGCTTGCATTTGATACATCCTTGCAAATTCGTACACACTATTATCTACATTTAGTAGAGAGGAAATAAATTTGACAGGAATAAATTGGGATTTTTCCTTTTACCACCAGAATCGAACATCGAAACAAACTACAAGCGTGGAACTAACCAATCTCGAAGCTCCATTAACCTCAATACCAGAATCTTCAGTGAGTTCGGCGGCACCTGCAGAAGTCCTTTCAACTTTGACCTCTCTTCATCTCACCAGTGACCTTGGAACTTCTCCAAGTCTACTGACGACGACTGTTGTTCCCACTAACGTCTCGACTCGTACTCTACCAAACACGTACGACGACCAACCTACATCCGTCATCCGAGGAGACTTGCCTATTAACTCGGACTTCGAGGAGACTGTCGAGGACGTGTCTGGCCTCCTCTTCTCGCCTTTGGAGACGCTCTTTACGCCTTCTGAAGAGCCGCCTGGACATGAACCCACAATCAGTGATGACAGTGTTATAAATCATAATCCTACAGGATACCTAGAAATGGATTTGTATGCACCTGAAGGTTCTGTATTTGTCAACGACATTCAGAGTGAGTTGGCCAGTGTAATGGAGCTCAGTAACGTTACTCTTGAATCTAGCCAAACTACTGTTTCTAGTTTTGATCTTCTGCGCGAGACTCCTGGAAACAAACCCACAAACATCGAAGACATTTTCGCAGATCACAGTCCGTCAGAGCACTTTGAAGTTGATCCTCTTTCCAGAACATCCCCTTCATCTGTCAGTGCTAACCCGAGCGGGTTGGTTACTTTGAAGGAATTCAGTGCTGTTACGGTTGAATTAGATCAGACTACTGTTTTCAATTTTAATGAGCAGGAGATGCCAGAATATGAACCAGCAGCCCTTGAAAGCCCTTCCATAAGTCAAAGCTCGACAGAAGGCCTTGAAGTTGGTCTTCATTTGCATGCAAGTTCTGAATCAGTAAGAGTTAATCCAAACGAACTGGTCAGTGTAAAGGAGTTCAGTCATGTTTCTGATGTATTGAGCCAACCTACTGTTTCAAGTTTGGACTTTTTGCACAAGACGTCAGAAAATGAACGAAATACCATCGAAAATAGTTTCATCGATCAAAACACAGAAGTAAACCATGAAGTTGAGCTTCATTCTCAATTAATTTTCTCATCAGTTAGAAATAATTCGAGAGAGTTGTCTACGCTGAAGGAATTAAATCATTTTACTAGTTCATTTAACGACACTACAGTTTCTAGTTTTAACTTCATTCCCATGACGCCTGCAAATGAGCCTATATCAATCGAAAACAGTTTCGTAACTCAAAGCCCAGCAGGAGGCCTTGAAGCTGATTTTCATTCACTAGCAAGAACTGTCTCAATCAAGGAAAATACAAGCGTGTTAGCGAGTGTGATGGCATTAAATGATGTCACTGATTCTTTGAAAATTACGGTTGAATTGAAGGAGACCACTATTTCTAGTTTTAGTCGTCTGCACGAGGAAGATCACACAGAAAATGTGGCGGACACCAGTAAGTTTGCGTCCATTGATGTGCATTCAGACGGCCTCACCCCTCACACTTCGTCGTTCCAGGAGCTGTACGACAGCAGGATATGGTTCTTCATCGTTCTTCGAGGTAACTGTCACCTCGTCAAACTGGATAACACGAACGTTCTTGCCTCTGACTTCATCACGTCCTTCTCGCTGCTGTTACTCTATAGCAAAGACAAAATAGTTGTCCACTCCATAGAGTGTTCGGGAGTCAAGATGACAGTGAACATGACAATAGATTCGTCATATTACCCAAACTGTGAAGAAGATTTGAACACCCTTTTATCGCACAGAAACCTCCGTATCGACCTCCACAACACCTCCTTCTACATAGAATCTTATGAAACTAGGCGAACCCTTATTTTCGAAACAAAATCAGATATCGAAAAGGATAATTTTAATATCCTGTACTTGATCCTCGGAGGTGTTGCAGTGTCAATTATATTCATTATTTTCGCTGCCATAATATTCGTTATCTACCGACATTTGGTGCTAAAGAAGACCAAGTTTAATCTCGGAACACTAGATACAATTTTATCAGAATCCCCTCGAAGTTACAAAATGGAAGTGGATCACACTGTAAGATTCTCGGACACAGACACCTACTACGTCAAAATGTACAAAAGCTGCAGTGACCTTAGCTCTCTGGATCGTTATGACCAATATGGCTTCATTGACCATCCCACAGCTACCATACAGAGCAGTCCTCAGGCGTCAACTAACAAAAAGAAGTCAAATAGAAGTATTAAACAGAGCCACGGAGGTTCGTATAATTTGGAGAATCGCCACAGAAACTTGTGGCTAGGGCGCCCCACACACGCTGGCGACGAGATCATGACCATCAGGAATGTCAACATTCTGAACCCGTATGATTGTAACATGAGGGAACAGGAGGAAAGTCTAAATCCACTGTTGACGAATGGTAGCCCCAACTCCAGACTGGAGACGACAGCAGCGCACACAGACGACAACATAGATTCTTCTCCATGCCCGCCCTCTGTGGCGCCTCAAAATGATGTCTTGAAGAGAATGGACGACCTCATCTCCACCACTTTCTCCAACAGCATCCCCAACATTACTGCTGATCCCGTCGGAGACACCACTTACAGGACAGCGTATTCCAACGTCATCGCAAGCCTACCTGCAGGTAACCTCAACACCATCACCACCACTACTGGGGACTCGAATTTCTATCCAGCTTCCTACTCCTCCAACACCAACACACCTTCCTACAACACAGCAGCCTCCAACGTCACCCCCACCTCCAAGACCTCAGCTGAGAACCTCTGCCTCACACGTATAACCTTCCTGGGTATGGAGAACCTATCCTTCAGAATGGAGACAGATATGTAGCCTTACTGCGAGAGATAGTCTTGTCAATAACAAATTATTTATTGCAGGAATGACTATGTTAGACTCAGTTATCCATGCATATATTGGGCCATGTGTCTATGTGTTAATTAAAGTAATCCGTGTGTGTGTGTGTGTGTGTGTGTGTGTGTGTGTGTGTGTGTGTGTGTGTGTGTGTGTGTGTGTGTGTGTGTGTGTGTGTGTGTGTGTGTGTGTACTCACCTAATTGTGCTTGCGGGGGTTGAGCTCTGGCTCTTTGGTCCCGAACCAAACCTTTGGTCACCTTTGTATGTGTGTGTGTGTGTGTGTGTGTGTGTGTGTGAGGAGACAGAGAGAAAAGATCTCACAAAAGAAACAATCTTTATCGTTAAACTTCCCAATTTAAAGAATATATAGTTTCAAAGATAGATCCCAGCAGCGGGTATGGTTGCCCACCTCAGCAGTCACAGGAGACCACCGGCTAACCGATGGCCATGTCCTCATCTAACCCATGTCCATGTCTCTGGTTAGTTCATGTCCGCGTCTTCAGCTAATCCATGTCCGTTTCGTAATTTACCTCATGTCCGTATCTGCAGTTAACCCATGTCAGTGGCCTCATCTAACCCATGTCCATGACCTCAGTTAATTCATGTCCGTGTCCTCAGCTAACCTATGTCCGTGTCCTCAGCTAACCCATGTCCGTGTCCTCTCCTTTAGAGATGCGTGTCTGGCCACGGCGCACCGCAGCCCAACACAACTTCCCACTCCTCAAAGACTCTGGTAGGTGGACGCTCTCTCAGAGACACAACCGAGAGGTGTACCGGTGTATATAGGTGTACCGGTGTATATAGGTGTACCCTGCTTCTCAATCTATATACACAGCGAGTTTACTTTAGTCCTGGACTCTCTTGAGGGCTACAGTATACAAGCTGGTTGGCCAGTAAGCTCTTGTAATGGTCTAAACTACCCCTCCCACTACTGAGAGGCCTTAACCCTTAAACTGCTATTTTAAACATTCTACATCCAGTTGCTCTGGGATTTGTTTTCTAAACACAAAAGGATTTGAGCCCAAAATGTAATCAAATCGCAGTTAAGCGATTGGAGCAGTGTAAGGGTTAATTAATAAGCCAAACTAAAACGTACTTACTCGATGCTCGACTCGCCCACTCGACCAATTAACTGCATGCTGAAGATATTGGTCGAATTGTGTGATCACGAGTCCTTACCATAGCCTCGAGGACAAAGCTTGCTTATTTATAAGTAATGATAACTTTCTGTAGATTTTAATCTGTAGATTTGTTATTTGAATTCTATTGTAGTAACTTCAGGATATAGGTTGAAACATGACACAACATTTACATAATTTATCACAGGACGTTATTTCTGTTAAAACATTTAGAAATTCGAAACTTAAACTTTCAACGAACGCGTTAAGCTGCGGTGAAGATCCCCACACTAGTCAGTTGTTCCGCACTGGCCATTAGTGGCACGCATTCTAGCATTATCGTTCGTGTTGCTGTACATTTCTCTCTTTCGTTAAAGACTCGTTGAACAGCTACGGCAAGGATTATGACATGTTTCTTAGCCTGGGGAGAAGCGAGTAGGAGTGGATGGCGATGGTTACACTGTTGCTACAGGAACATGTGTAGGAAAGGGATGCTTAACTCGTGTGTAGCAAAGGCAGTTTAACTCGTGTGTGGCAAGGGCTACACACGAGTTAATGTCAAAGCGTATATTAGGCTTAGGATTACTCGGCGAGGTTAGGTTAAGTATATATTTATGCGACGGTTAAAAAAAGTTTCTTCTGTTTCTGTAGAAACAGGTGAAAATATGGAATGGACATTTGGGAGGATATTTTAAGAACATGAGGAGAACGTACAGATACGGTAAGATTATTGATAATAGTTGTATTTCAAATTCTTGAGGGTGCAGAGTTGTGAATGAATCTGGGGAAGGGGGAGTTGGGGAATGGGCGAGATGCAGGGGGAGTAGAGGGTGAGGGAGGGGAAGATAAGAGTGCGGGGGAGATGGAGAGGTAAGGGAGGGAGAAGGTAAGGGATGAGGGAGATAAGAGAGAGGACGGGGGGCGGGGGAAATGGAGGGAGAGGGGGGTAGGTATGGAAGGAGTAAGGTGTGGAGAGGGGAGATATGGGGGGTGAGGGAGGAGAAGGTGCTGAGGGAGATAAGTGAGCAGATGGGTGCAGGGGCATGGGGGGTTGGAACGGGGGAGATAAGGTGGGTGTGTTACAAGCAAACACCACCAGAGACAAGAGCTGGAGCATGGTAACTGCCTCTATCTAATTTACTGTGTCCGAAATAGCTATGTTTTAAATCTCGAGGAAATTGATCGGATAATAGCGGAGTTGTACGAGTAAAATATAGTGGGGGACAGTAGCTAGAACTCGGTAACTAAATTATTGTATTTTACTACGTTTGAAATATAGCAGTTTTAAATTTCAGGGAAATTGGACTGATAGTATCGAATCTATGGGGGTAAACTAAGGCGAAGGACAAGAACTAGAACTCGATAACTCTATTTTATTTTATTACTATGTCTGAAATATGACATTTTAAATTTTGTGGGGATTGAACTGATAATAACAAACTTATGAAAGCGAACTAAGGCGGGAGCAGGAGCTGGAGCTCGGTAACTGTATTTTTTTTTACTTACTATGTCCGAAGTATGACTTTTAAACTGGGCTAAAATTAAGTTACTAGCAGCGAAACTACATTTATTAACATATAGAGCCGGGTCCAAGAACTAACTTATAAATACCCCGTACTGAGATTATTTCTCAAAACGGAAACTTAAGTCGGTAGAGTTTATTTTCCTTAAGAATTCTTCAATACTGCAGATGTAAGTAAAACTCTGAAAATAAATAGAGGAGGGTTCAAGAACTAACTTCCGATGAACTTTTTAAAAATATCTACATAGAGACATTTAGATATTTTAAAAATATCTAAATGTCCATAGAGTTTATTTTATCCATAAGAATTCTTTAATTATAAGAAACATGTCATAATCTTTGCCGGAGCTATTCAACGAGTCTTTAACGAAAGGATTAAACTGACAAAATTCAGTCTTAAACTGGACTCAGAAAAAATCCGCCTGAAAACAGGTGACGGGTCAGTGAGTACTTTTCTAGGATAGGTCCCATACCTTTCTCAGAGTGATGGGTCATGGAGTACTTCCCTCCCCCCCCCCCCAAAAAAAAAAACGAAAAGAACTCGCTAACCCTTCATCCGAATAGACAGTATGTTTTAATACTAAATGTAATAAGTACATTCCTGACTGTGTGCATAGTACATAAATACACTTAATGGTACTGTTACATTTACCTCCCCATATATTCTTCTCATTTTCTGTTAATACACTCCAAATTTTTAGGTTGAAGTTTTCGTGTTCAATACACAAGTTTTAAATATAAAGAATTTCTTTTTCAGTTTTATTAAACAATAGAGATTTTTTACAAAATTTGAAAATATCCTGAGTTACTTTGTAATTTATTGAAAGACTTTAGTTTTGTTTTATTAGTTGAACGCCCAGGTCAGTGTTAGTGGTTGAACGCCCATAGTTTGTTTGTAACAAAAAAAATATAAAAATACTAAAATCTCACTAATTGTAACTAACTTTTGTATTTTTTATTTGCTTTTTTTTTTTATTAATAAATATGATAAAATTCCTACGATTTTGTTTAAGCTGTTCTGTTCCTAGCCCTCATATGTAAAGTAAAACCAAGCTACTAACACCTTTATAAGTCGTACTGGAACCTAATAAACCCGCTGATGATGATGATGATAATTTCGACAGCTTGGCTAAGGAGGGTATATGGGGGCGTATTGGGCAATCCATTAGCGGTCTGGAATCTTCAAAGGGTTTTTATAAGATCCACTGAGGACGTTTTAAAACAAATGAAAGTTATAACCTTGTCCCTTTGTTTCAGGGAAGCCGAAGCCATCTCAGATGATCAACCAGGATGACATCTTAGAGGTCTAGAATGTATGACCTGATGATGTTAATCCAGCCTATTTTTTGTTTTTAGCACTACGTACAAAATACAAATAACCCAAGCCTAATCATCCGATGCATAGACAACATGAAATTTGAAAGCCAATCCTTTTCATAGTGCTTTGCAATTTATACGTTGGGATCGCAACGTACAAAATGAGACGAAATAGCTGAGAAGCCGTGTTAACGAAAACTCAAGACCTCGGCTAAAATATATTATGGCTGTTCGTAAATATTTGGGAGAATTACAGATGTATCTGCTAGCTTCTAATGTTTAGATAGAGCGAATATTTTGATTACTATCTTACAGCAACATTTATAATGGAATTTGAGACTATCATATGGTTCCATATGTTGGCCTCAATATGCACGAAGAACTGACGAGTTAGCCAAAGCCTAGAGGAAGCTGATTACACCTTGTCCAGCCTAACTAGGTCAGTAATATACCGTGAAATCATAACAAATTTGTGAGACTCAGTGAGATTTACACTAGCAAGAAGAGCCACCAGTCTATGGGTCCTCCAGTAAGGTCAGTAGATATCTAGCCTAGCAGTAGACTGCTAGGCTTTGACTCGGCAAGAAGTAGCTCTAAGGAGTTTACACAATCTGCTCAAGTATATCTGACCAAATGTAAATTATCGCAGCAAAACTGTTCAAATACATAGTATATGTAATTGAATGTGAAATTAAATTCAAGCATTCAAACAATTTTATCAAGAATGTTAAAAATGATTTGCAAATTTCTTTTTTTCGGAATGACATTGCTCAAAATGTTATCCATTACAAAATTTGTGCAGTGTAGATAGTACATGTTCTGCCTAAGTTCCCACTGCCTGCAAATGTTTTACTTGCTTGCTTCGTGATTACTGTAACATTAACTATTGTACTGAAATTAGACTACTACCCCTGTAACCTGTGTGGTGACTGTAAATGTTAACAGTCTCTGTAGCTAGTTCATCAGTGCTGTAACTTGCCTGTAGCGAAACATTTATTTGTTAAATTACTGAACTCATTAAGTGCCTCTGTTGCCTGTAACAACACACTGTAACCTACTGTGGCTCACTGTAACATCTGCCCCACTGAACGATACATAAGGGCCATGGGTATTGGGCACTAACAAGCTAACTAGGCTTAGCTAAATAGCACTGTAAATACACTGTTGATATTTATGTTAATATATTAACTAATCAGTTCATCAGGGGTGTAACTGGATTAGTTAGAATAATATTCCTGAGCCCATTAATATGCCTCTGTAACCAAGCCGCCAGTCCCCGCTGGATGTGTATGGGTGTCTCTGTAACCTTTACTAGGTATACCTTCCGTGTCATGTACCAGCTGTACTTTCCATGTCATCTACCCGTAGTACCTTCCGTGTAATCTACCAGTAGCATCTTCCTTGGCACACAATAGCTGTGCCTCTTCTCGCCACAGACAGCAGCACCGGACAACAACAGTGTGAAGGATGTCCACCACTCAGGAACCGGGTCAAGACAGGTCTTAGCGACACACCGCCATAGACAGCTGCAGAGATAAAGAATTCTCCCCAAGCCTGAACACACTTGTGAATGCTCTCACGTGGAGATAAGCTTGGGTTCCAATATTACAGAAAGCATTTCCGTGTCTCTGGTAATGTCTTAGACCAAGGGGTCTAAACAATTAAACTATACCCAATCTCCACTTCGCCAGATTATCGAAATCATTATCGCCATCATCACCAGTACTATTAGATACCAGTTGACTTCAAAAGATGTCAGTAACTTGGTTGTGTTGTACATACATATAGCCAGGAACAGAACAGCTAAAAGAAAATCAAGAAGAATTTGTCATATATATAGAAAAACGTCATATACATAGCTAGCTACAGCTAGTTGGATTTTTGTTGTTGTTGTGGTGTTGTTAAAAATAGAATTGAGACATTGTAACTGACGGTGATAGTTAATTTTATTTTTTTGTTTTGTTTTTTATATTGTTCTGAAATAGAGTTCCATACCCCTATTATTTGATTCACATACCCCCTGTTTAAAAATCCCTGTGCTAGACGAATCAGCACAGCGCTACACGTCAAACCTTAATAGCTTCGTTAGGTTGTATGTCCCCAGATGTAATCTTTTGTATTATATTGACGTTTTAACTGATATCATTCATCTAACCCAGTCTATATCGTCCACCTAACTTCTTTCATTGATCTAAGCTACTCTATTTTGTCCACCAAACTTTAGCTATATCGTCTACCTAATCTTCTTTATAGCCAAATAGGCTTAGTGTTTTCTCATTGTAAATATCATATCGATCTAATGTAATCTATATCATTCATCTAACCTATATCGCCTACCTGATATACTTAGTCCGCTCAAGCCAACGTTATATCGCCAACCAAACCTAATCCTATATCGCCCACATAGCCATCATTATATCGCCTGCATAACCTAACCTAACCGATAGAATAGGGAGAAACATGTTAATCGGGAGCTTCCTGTACATAGCAATTTACACTTCTTGTTAACACTCTAAATAAATAAAATGTAAATGTTCGTTTTGTTCAAAATCGCTACTCCGAAAGTTCTTCACCGATTGCTTTGAAATTTTGATACAACGTTCCATTCGAATACACGCGTGTTTATATATACTTACTATATAGACGTCAAGTCCATGACAAATAAAAACATGTTTTTTTTTAAACTGTGTTTTTCATGTGAGGGAAATCTCCGAAACCTCTTTACGGATTGCTTTTATATTTTGACCCAACGTTGCATTCGAATACGCACGTGTTTTTAGATACCTACTATATAGATGCCACACCTGTGACAGGTAAAAACATGATTTTTTGAAAAACAGCCCCATATGTTGGACATAAAAGCAACACATGCTGTAATCGACGAAAGTTCTTCACCGATTGCTTTGAAATTTAGACACGATGTTCCATTCGAATACACGCATGTTTTTATATACCTACCATATAGATGCCATACCTGTGACAGGTAAAAGCATGTTTTTTTTTAAATAGCGCCATCTGTTGGACGCAATAGCAAAACAGGCTATACTTATTATGTTACAATTCCATTTCATTGTTTCCGATTACATTGTTAAATTGAACTTTCATAGATTTTGATTTATTTTAATTTTTATTTAATTATTTTGTGTGACATTGCATTGGAATTGAGCTGGGTTGTTTACCATACCATTCATTTTGTGAGTATAGTTTATTTTATTTTTCATTTTTTTCATTTCGTTTTTTTAACTGTTCTTATTTTTCAGTGATTGGGAACATCAGATCATTTAGGAACACATTGAACGGGGGAGTGAAAAATGGTGGGGGAGGACAAGAGGGATGGGGGAGTGTGAAATGGTGGGTGAGGACAAGGGAACAGGGGGAGAGGGGATGATTGGGAAGACGAGGGGACGGGAGAGGGGGGAATGGTGGGGGAGGACACGGGGACGGGGAAGTGGGGGATGGTGGGGAGGGCGAAGGGACGGGGGAGTGGGGAGGACGCGGGGACGGGGGATGGTGGGGAGGACGAGGGGACGGGGGATGGTGTGGAGGACGAGGAGACGGGGAGGGGGGGAATGGTGGGGAGATGAGGGGACGGGGGAGGGGAGAACAATAGGAATGGGGGGAAGGATGGTGAGGACGGGGAAGTGGGGAGGATGAGGGGACAGGGTAGGGGGGAATAGTGGGGACAGAGGAGGGTTGATGTGGCTCATCATCGCCCACGCGTTGCTGAGCCACTGCAACTCATGGCCGAGTACAGCTAGAGTTTAATATATTTTGAATCGTTTTTATTCTTAACTCCTTCACACATAACTTCTGAATCCATTTATTTAAGTATTAAATCAAATTTGACATCTGTATATCCGTTTGCATGTTTTTACAAAAATGTACATAAAACCCTTCCTGTACAAGTATGTACGGATTTTATTCACAATATGTAAATCGGTTTAGATTGCTTTTATAAATGTAACACGCTGTAAATATGTTTCGATTGTTTATGCAAGTATAACACCTGTGAATTTGTTTGCATTTATTTGCAAATATAATTCCTGTAAATATTTTTTTATTTGTACATTAAGAGTTGTGAAGCTGAAGAAATCATTCAAATTTACATTCTTTTCGGTTAAAATAAGAAATTCTCAATAAAACCCAAGCTGTTTCTATTTTGTACTTTAATACAGGAAATTGCATATGGACTGTTCTTTAATACAGGAAATCACGTATGGATTGATCTTTAACACAAGCAGTTACATACGGATTCTGTTCACTATGTAATGTGCATCTAAGTAAATTTGTTCCACATATTGTGGATTATATCAAATAAGACACCGTAATATAAAAAGAAAAACTAAGTTTTCTACAACTAATACTATTTCACATTAAACTAGCTTTACTCAAAGCTCTTTGGAATCATCATCATGCACTGTACTGCACACCATCTGAACTAGCTGTCACTAGGCTCTATCCCAATGCAGTAGTACACTAGCTCTAACATGCTTCAAATCAAAGATATATAGAATGGTGGGGTCACAATAATCAGTAATCGGTGAAGAATCAATCAACAAAGATACAACCACAGTCACTTAGTATCCTCGAATACCACCACATAATTCATAAAAGAAATATCACCTACCACCTGTCAGAAATGGCAGTATCAGATATATATATATATGGACTCTGAATAATAAGGTACTATCTACAATGAAAAACTGATTAAATCTCAGCTGTGACAGAGGGACGTAGATGTAGTCCACTGTACATCAGTCTGGAAACAGTTTGAGATAGTGATACTTGGAGCACGTGAGGGTATGGCAGTCACACGCTTCCTCAAGGGTGTTGCACCATGCTGCAATAATGATAATTCCGTAATTTCCACCCCAAACTAGTATTCACACACATATAAGGTAATATCTAAATATTTGGAGGGAAAGAGCTGCACTTACATGGAATTATTTTTAACGCCTGCAGCGTCACGATATGGCACCTACATGATCTTATTTAAGAGCTCATTAAATAGAACAAATGAGGTAAAAATGCCTGCCGAACTGGTGTCCGTGATTCTGGTAAGCTGCGTCCTCAATCCAGCATCTAGGGATGTAAGGATGCCGTCTGGATGGTAAGATTTGTTGGACCGCTTCGGAGCACCGTGTCGCTTGTTGATCGAATATGGCGAGAGTCCTCTCTCCTCCTTCCCGAAAGTCGCGCATGCGCAATAGCTCACCGTGAGGATTCGAGCATAAATTGTATTTATTTATTATAGCTAAATAGGGAAGGGGGCGTTTATGAACACTCTTGATGGTTTAGATAAATACTTTATGTGGTGATGTTTCAATTCTCACAGTGCAAGTCAGTTAATGTAGACTGCCCAGATAAAACAATACTTGCTTGGTGGTGGAAATGATATTAGATTATGATATGATTTACTGGAACAGCGATTAAGCTGGGAAAGGAAATAACAGTAAACTATTGTATACTAAAAGTAAACCTATTACTAAATTATTATTCCTAATAAAGGAAAGTAAATGGTTACATTGGTGTTAAATCTACTGGTATGTGGAAATTTTATCTCCTTGCGTGGTTGACGTAACACTACACAATTCTAGGAGAAATTACATGATGTTCCACAACCTAATACAGTAAATTCCACAATACTAAGCTACATATTATTGGTGTTAGTTAATTATTACGCTTAATACAGGAAATACATCCTGTTGTATTAAGGATTAGTAAATGAATATTAGATGTGTATGAAGCCTAATACAAGAAATACATCCTGTTGTATTAGGGATGAGAATAACTGTTGGAAATTTCCAACATAGGGTAACGTATGTGAATCATACGTTAAAAGCCCCTCAAAATATTATTTTCAAAGAAACTCTTGCATGTTTTAATAGTGTCTAATAATACTTGGTGTATTTAATAGTGTCTTTAATGCTTTGGCGCAACGATCTCGCTTCCTGCAGGTCTACGTTCAATCCCCGACCGTCCAAGTGGTTAGGCACCATTCCTTTCCCCCGTCCCATCCCAAATCCTTATCAAGATCCCTTGCAAGTGCTATATAATCGTAATGGCTTGGCGCTTTCCCCTAATAGTTCCCTCCCTTTCACACAACTAGGATAATACGCAACACTCACGTCAGTGAAAGTGTATGCATATTCGGCAGGGTTGATTACAGGCATGACGTAGAAGTGGACTTGGGAGAGAAGGTCGCCGTAGATGTCGCTCTTATTCACTAACTCGTTCACCATGTGGGTCACAGTAGCCGGGGAGATCCAGTGACAAGCGAGGCTACCTGTTGGAGAGTCGCCCTTGTAGTACCGAACCCGCTCTCTCTCTCTCTCCCTCTCTCTCTCATCAAAAAAAAAGGCGAAACATTTATGCGTTTTGAAGCGAAACCAAGAGTTGAGACTCTTCATAATGCTGTTTCTCTCCTATAGCCGTATTCAGCTCATGAGTGGGGAGCTTCTGACAACGTGACAGAAGTATTGGACATGTCCAACTTTCCCTTTCAGGCTAGTTTGTCAGCTCGCTGTGACACTACTCTTAAAAACCTCCCTTTTTTACATATACCATCATATATTCATCAAAGCAGAGTGTTGTTAATGGTTGATCACACAGAGCATCGTACCTTCGTTGATGAAGATGCTGGGCTTGTCAACGCCACCTTTTCCCCCTTTCCCCTGTTTCAAGAGCGTCACGATGCGGCCCTCGTAGCTCAGTCCCACATCCTCCACGCTGGCCAGATCCGGGCCAGCGTGGAGCTAAGCATTCTGTCGCTAAGGTGTCAAACCAGTCGTTTATCTGTGTATGGCATTTTAAATTACTAATAAAAAAGAGATTTTAAACAATATTGCTATCATGTATTACACATGCATCTTTATTATCATGAGGGGCCATAACACTCGTCTCATCATGCAGAAATATTAGTATTTTTATATTTAAAACAATATTAAATATTAGAAATATTAACATAATGAGCATTCCGTCATTGGTAACGCTATATATA